TAGATGGGATTCCCCGCGAGTAGGGGGGCGCTTCTGGTGCCCTGCCGAACCCCACGTTCCCAGGCTTCCTCCGCCTGGGATTTCTAGCGGGTCCCCACCTTCGCCGCGGCGGGAAGACCCAGTTTCCACGGAGCCCGTTCCTCCAGTCGGAGGAACTCCGCCATTCACCAATGGCGCTGACCCGGAAGTTCCACAAATAGCAATCTGATATTGCAGTGCCCATTGTGACGGACTGAGTATCCAAAACCATAGTGCAAAGAGGAGGCAGAGGCATATCTAGCGGATGGTGAAACCAGTCCCCAGATGGGTGGAAAAATCACCCCATAAATCTGTCTCTAGTTATCTGCGTAAGGTCTTGAGTTCAGACAAGAGCTCGGATCTGAGCTGTAGGAGAAATGGCACGGCGGTATGAAGGGGGAGACTATGGAGTACGTGGCATATATGTTTGTGTGTCGTGCCACTGCTGTCATGGCGAGATCAAACACGGGAGAAGCTTCCTGCCTTTCTCACACACGGCACAAAGTGTGTTTTTTCTGGTGAGGGTGGGGGGTGCCAATACAGTTCCTAGCCAAGGCTGGATTGGACCCCAGGTTTGCCTCTGAAAAGAGAAGGCTAGATTCTGGCACTGAAAGCTACTGTTGATGATGGTAGGCTATGGGTCTTTCTGCAGCCAAACAGGAATGCCCCTTTATCACTGCATCTGTGTGACGCAAGCCTTATGTTATCAGCATCAGCAGTACATTTAGGTAATTTTAGATTCTGCCTCAACAGGAACAGGGAACTGAATCCAAGCAGGCAGACCAGATCCTTATCTCCCCTTCCTTATTCCATAGAAATGGTACACTGGGTAAGTACCCAGAAGCCTTGGAATCCTGCACTGCTTGAAGATTGGGGTGGCATGCAACAATATTTACAAGCTGCCAATTCCTCCTCTCACCCACAGTAAACAAGTGACCTGGCATTGCTTATTTTTGTCTCAAATTTGTTTGTTTCTAGTACAGTGGTACCTTGGTTCTTGAACTCAATCCATTCTGGAAGTCCGTTTTGACTTCCAAAACATTCACAAGCCAAGGCGCAGCTTCTGATTGGCTGATTGGCCCCGGAAACAATGGCGACAGTCAAAACTGACATTTGGCTTCCAAAAAATGTTCGCAAACTGAAACACCTTCTTCTGGCTTTGCAGTGTTCAGTAGCCAAGCCGTTCAGGAACCAAGGTACCACTGTACTGCCACTGTTAGAAGATGCAAAATGCAAATACCCCCCCATTAAACTGTAAACCATGGCCAAGTGCCAATTGCGCTTAACATAATTGCATGCAGTGAGCATCTCGAACACAAATTGTGTATTTCCCCCCACCATGCAACATGATGGAATGGCAGTGATAGGGTTTTAAACGCCATCTCCAACTCCTGGAAAGATTCCATGAACACTGTCTCTGAAAAATTTGTATGCATCACTAGGGAAGACAGGCAAACTAATGTCAGTGCACTGGAAGGAGCAAAGATCATGAGCGTCAAAGCAAGGATTCTTCAACATCAACTTTGTTGGACTGTTCATGTGGTTCGGATGCCTGATTATCGTCTTCCCAAGCAACTCAACTCAAAAAATGGAAAGTGTAATGCTGGTGGTCAACAAAGGAGGTTTAAAGAATCTCTCAAGGCAAATCTGAAAAAATGTAGCATAAACACTGGCAACTGGGAAACACTGGCCTGCAACTGGAGAACAGCCTTTCCCAAAGGTGTCATGGGCTCTGAAGAAGCACGAACTCAAGACAAAAGGAGAAATGAGATAAGAGGAAGGCATGTTTGGCAAACCCTCTCCGTGATCAACTCCTGCCCAGAAACTACGTCCCCACTATGGAAGGATGCGAGAATCCAGAATTGGCCTCCAGTGTCACTTAGGGACTCACGGTTAAGACCACATTCATGGAACACAATCTTGCTTGGTTATGAGTGATTGCCAAAGAAGAAGGGTTTTTTGTTGTTGTTGTTTCTGCTTTTTAAATATGGCATTTAACTGCGTGACAGGTTATTAAAAACACTTGTTTTTAATATTTGAATAAGGTGCCTACCTGTGGAAGTCCTGCTAGTGGCACAGAAGGATAATGGTGAGCCAGTGGTGTTTGTGGAGGAATAATGAAAGGTAATGCTTGGCTTTTGTCCTTTGTCCATGGAGTTTTCTTGGCAGGGATACTGGAGTGGCTTGCCGGTTCCTGCTCCAGGTGGATCACGTTTGGTCAAAACTCTCCACTATGACCTGTCCATCTTGGGTGGCCCTGCACGGCATAGCTCATAGCTTCTACGAGTTATTCAAGCCCCTTTGCCACGGCAAGGCAGTGATCCATGAAGGGAACTTTCCAGTAGTGATGTATGGAAGTGAGAGCTGGACCATAAAGAAGGCTGATCGCCGAAGAATTGATGCTTTTGAATTATGGTGCTGGAGGAGACTCTTGAGAGTCCCATGGACTGCAAGAAGGTCAAACCTATCCATTCTGAAGGAAATCAGCCCTGAGTGCTCACTGGAAGGACAGATCGTGAAGCTGAGGCTCCAATACTTTGGCCACCTCATGAGAAGACTCCCTGGAAAAGACCCTGATGTTGGGAAAGATGGAGGGCACAAGGAGAAGGGGACGACAGAGGACGAGATGGTTGGACAGTGTTCTCGAAGCTACAAACATGAGTCTGACCAAACTGCAGGAGGCAGTGGAAGACAGGAGTGCCTGGCGTGCTCTGGTCCATGGGGTCACGAAGAGTCGGACACGACTAAACAACTAAACAACAACAACAAATGCTTGGCTTACTAAACTTGTGATGAAAATGTGAGCTGGAAAAAGAAGCCATCTTACTGCTGAGAGTGAATCTGCATCTAGGAGATACACACACACACACACACACAAACCCACCCTCTTCAAAAATGAACTATTTGATCTGGATTCAGGCACAGTCTCTATGGAAACCCTGCAAGGCCATTTCTGAATAACAACATTTCTGGATGAGAGAGATGAACTTAGTAGCACCAGCTGAAAGAGGGAAGGAAGAGTAGAAGATGAAACAGAAGAGGAAAAAGATACGTGGTCAAACTGTAAGTTAACCTGCTGCAGTAACAAAGAAATGTGAAAGGCACAGATATATTCACCTTCATAAGGGCAGTTAAAAGCGGATTGTAGCACATGGAATTGGATGTCTCTCATCTCCTATAGCATCCGCTGGCCCAGCTGTATTATATTTATCTGTGAGAATTTTACGATCCCGCTCTACAGTCCAAAAAAAATGCTCCCAGACCACCTTCCAAACTGCCCACCATCTAAAGAGACACGACACAAAAGGAAAATGAACTGGGAGGGAGAAGGAAATAAGCAAGCATGGGAGCATGTTCTTAGCTACAAGTTGTTCTTAAGACTGACCTACTGAGTTGGAAATGTTTGAAGGGGTGAGGCAGGTCGATTGTGCCAGATTCTGCACCCTGAATCTCTCAAACGATATGCGAACGGTGGGGTCTACAGTTCCCAGGTGTCTTCAGAACGGCCGTATACTAGCTAAAGCATGACGAAACTAATATAATAACATATATTTACCACCAATTTTAAAGCACCTGATGCTTGATTTTTATTTTTATTTTTTTGTGATGTGGCATCCAGCAATACACTAGTAGTGCCTGATAGATTGGAAGCAAGGATTGGCACCTCAGCAGTCAAGAGTAGCTTTTGCCTTGCTAAAATGTGTTCTCAAACTCTGATACTGGCTCCCTCTTGTCTCTGTGGAAGGTAGAGAGAAGTGTGTGTGTGTGTGTGTGTGTGTGTGTGTGTGTACGTGTGTACAAAGGTGAAATTTCAATTAGTTGCTCCACCCTCTCTGATGAGAATTTCTCAGCCACTTCAGTAAATAACTTTTCCTAGGATTATCAGAGGACAATTAGTTTAAATCTGCAGCACAGATATGCCCTCATGTGCTACTCTCCTTCAACGGTGGAGAGAACAGCCTTTATTGGCTCCTAGTACGTTTCCGAGCACAGTTCAAAGTGTTGATGCTGACCTTTAAAGCCCTAAACGGCCTCAGTCCAGTATACCTGAAGGAGCGTCTCCACCCCCATCGTTCTGCCCGGACACTGAGGTCCAGCACCGAGGGCCTTCTGGCGGTTCCCTCGCTGCAAGAAGCCAAGTTACAGTGAACCAGGCAGAGGGCCTTCTCGGTAGTGGCGCCCACCCTGTGGAACATCCTCCCATCAGATGTCAAAAAGAAAAACAACTACCAGACTTTTAGAAGACATCTGAAGGCAGCTCTCTTTAGAGAAGCTTTTAATGTTTAACAGACTACTGTATTTTAATACAGTGGTACCTCAGGTTACATACGCTTCAGGTTACAGACTTCGCTGATCCAGAAATAGTACCTCGGGTTAAGAACTTTGCTTCAGGATGAGAACAGAAATCGCACGGTGGCAGCAGGAGGCCCCATTAGCTAAAGTGGTGCTTCAGGTTAAGAACAGTTTCAGGTTAAGAACGGACCTCCGGAATGAATTAAGTACTTATCCTGAGATACCACTGTACTTTGTTGGAAGCCGCCTAGAGTGGCTGGGGAAACCCAGCCAGATGGGCAGGGTATAAATATATTATTATTATTATTATTATTGAAAGCCAAGTCATGAAGTTATGTGTGAGAGGCAGTGTGGCCTAGCGGTTAGAGTGTCAGACTAGGCCCTGGATCCTCACTGGCCCAGGAAGCTCCCTGGGTGATGCCTGTCAGCCAAACCTACCTCACAGGGCTGTTGTGAGGATAGAAAAAGGAGGGGGAACCCAGAAGGAAATAAGCCAAGCGAGCATAATCTGCCATGTTTGGTTAACATTTCAGTGTGGATCTTAAATATACATATTTGCTGTATGGGTGCCAAGCCTTTCTGCGAACTCTGCTGTGTAAATCATTAATCAAGCAGAGGTGGAATTCCCCCAAACTGACCTTTGGAACTGTTCTCAGCTTGCCTATTCCATCTTGCAAACAGAAAGTAAAATAAAGGGTAACCGGAGTATTTTTCTTTTTTTACTTCCTTTTGCAGCACACACACACACAAACACAAAACCCAGCTTTGGTAGCGAACGGATTTTGGTTTTAGCCTAAAATACCCCCCTCTTCCATCTCTGTTATGCTCTCTGTACAGGGTTCAGTCAAGTTTTGCAAAGCCAAAAGAAGATGAGATCACGCCCTGCCTCTGCGGAGAAGGTGTCTTGACAAGCGTTTGTCTGAGGGGAGTGCGAGAAATTGCAGATTTAAGAAAACCAGGTGAGTCATGAAGAGAACTGCATCTGGGGGACTGGAGGTCCCTTTTGGGTTCCCCGTCATAGTCTGTGTGTTCTAGGTGGATATGAACCACCTCCCTGCTCCCCCTAGATATTTACAAGATTAAATGGGGGAGAAGGCATAATTTACGTTTTATCAGTAGAGGACAAGCAACCATCAACACGAAAGACACTTACCATAGATTCCGGCGTATAAGACGACTTTTTAACCCTGGAACAGAGGTTAAAAAGTCGGGGGTCGTCTTATACGCCGGGTATTCGCGGCGCGGAGCGGAGCCCACCCCTCGCTGCTGCTGCAGCGGCTCCGAAGCAGCAGCAGAGACGGTGGGCAGCTGCCAATTTGGGGGGGGCGTCTAATACGCCCATTAAAGGGACGCAGGTAGGGCTGTGGGTTAAACCACAGAGCCTAGGACTTGCCAATCAGAAGGTCGGCGGTTCGAATCCCCGTGACGGGGTGAGCTCCCGTTGCTCGGTCCCTGCTCCTGCCAACCTAGCAGTTCGAAAGCACGTCAAAGTGCAAGTAGATAAATAGGTACCACTCCTGCAGGAAGGTAAATGGTGTTTCCGTGTGCTGCTCTGGTTCGCCAGAAGTGGCTTAGTCATGCTGGCCACATGACCCGGAAGCTGTATGCCGGCTCCCTCGGCCAATAAAGCGAGATGAGCGCCACAAACCCAGAGTCGGCCACGACTGGACCTTATGGTCAGGGGTCCCTTTAGTAATACGCCCAGTCACCTACTACACAGGAATCTACGGTAAATATTTGGTCTGTTTTAAATGAATTGTTAATAGTGCTATGTAGTAAGTGTTATGTAGTAATCTGTGCCAGCCCTGCTGTTAGGCACCGTGATACAACTGCCTCGGGTGACAGATGGTGGTGGGCAGCAACAGCTACACCTGATCTGTTCCTCTTGAGCTCTTCCAGCCTCTCTTCAGACAGCAAGATTTCTTGGGCCGTTTCAGCAATGTTGTCATTTTTGATATGGCTGTTGTTTTGGGACTGTTTATATTCTCTGTACCACTTTGAACCCGAGTGCATTTGTGGGAAGTGTGGTTTGTTAAGTATGCTGGGAATTGTAGTTCTTTGTGGGATAAACCACAGTTCCCGGGATTCTTTGGGGGAGGGGGTGGTTTAAAAGTACTGCAGCAGAAGTCTGTGACTGCAACCAAAGGGGTTTGTATGCAAACCTACTATATAGATCCCATTTTTATGGTTTATAATAGCCACATGGAGTTAGCGCAAATGCAATGCTCTCTATCCCTTTACACTGTGCTATTTTTATAGAAAAAGAGGTGCCGGAACTCACCATGAACACCTCCTTTGTTCTATTAGAATGGCAACAATGGCACCCACGTGAAAGGTACCAGAACTGAGTTCCGCTGAGTTCCAGCTGGAAAAATGCCCTGCCTTTACACTGAGTAAAGGTCTGGGAGTCAGCTGTTGTATTATGGCGTCCTCTAATCCTTCCAGCCTCCCACTTCCGCACACAAACTCTCCATGCTGGGCTTTGCTATGGTTGTGTATCCCATGGGCGTGGGAGACCAGAGTTCATGCTAGCCAGGGCTTTAAATGGAAGGTAAAATAAAATAAAAGCACAGGGATTTGTGTTTATGCCGTACATATTTAGAACATGGGCTCACTTGGTGCACAATGGTCCTCATTCTGCCTGGAGAGAATAAAAGCACCTGATGGATAATCACACGTGGTCTAGATTAGAACATGGGGAGGAGGGATAGCAACATAGGAAGCTGCTTATACTGAGCCAGAGCATTGGTCCATCTAGCTCAAGACTGTGGACACTGACTGGCAGCAGCTCTCCAGGCTTCCAGGCCTTACCTGGAAATTCCAAAAATGCAGGCTTTCCCCACACAAAGCATATAATGCTTGACAGCTAGGGTGTGTGTGTCTTTTTCTGTGTGTGATGGGCTCTCCTACCTTCCCCAAACACCACTCCTATTAAATTGGGAATAGAAACTGAAGTGGAGGTGGGTTCCCACAAGGCAAGACACATTGCTAACGTCAAGAACCTTTATTGAACTAACAGAACTGGACAACAGGGGCAAAGCAACTGCTTATATGCATTTCTGAAGGCCTGGACCACTCCCACTCCCAACGTCTAAACTTCCAAGCTGCGAATCGCGACTCAAGAGTTTAAGGGCCAATGGTAGAGGTCCAAATCCTGAAATGTTCTCTGATTGGATATCATGTATCTAATCAGAACACAGGGGCTCAGAATCCTTAGTCCAGTCTCAAGACAAACACAGAGCACTGAATGCATAACAGAAACCATCTTGGTCCACTCTGCTGTTTCTGACATCTGAAGGCAGCCCTGTTTCTGGAATCTTTTAATGTTTGATGTATTATAGTATTTTAATATTCTTTTGGAAGCCGCCCAGAGTGGCCGGGGAAGCCCAGCCAGATGGGCGGGGTATAAATAATAAATTATTATTATTATTATTCCACCCCCATAGTTACTCAAATCCCTTTCTTTCAACTGAAAGAAAGAGCTGTAATTTTCTCCTAGTGTCTTTCTCTCTATTTTGTAACTTGGGTTGCTGTTTCCTTCCCCTGCTGTGGTTCCTGGGCTTTAGCAGCTATTTGACCAGCAAAATTTGGTGGCAAAGCCCTCCCAGGCAGCCACAAGTGGCAGCGATGGGTGGAAAGCTCATCCTGTGGTATTTCTGCCTGTCACACCACTCACTGAAAGGACGGGTCTAGTGTGGGAGGGGGCTGGGGAGCTGCCATCCTATGATGCCATAGAAGTAGGAAAAGTAGGGTGTCGGTAGGACAGCTAGATGCTGTCCTTTCATTAAAAATAAATAAATCATTAGCTGTACTTTTTCTTCCCCGCTCCACCTCCTGAAATTCCTTCCGCAACACATTATTAAAAGCATAGGAGCTTCAGTTCCCCCTTTACACTTGGCCGGCCTACCGAACACGGCATTACAAAAGCGGATTGCACGTTTCAAAACCACAGAGCAGTAACCATGGCAATTGACGTATTTCTGATTTCAGAAAACCTAAGCTATCGAGGGCCCCTTTTAACCGAGGCAGAGTGTGCAAATGAGGGTTCGCCTTACAGGTCAGAAACAAGTACTGAATCGACTCCAGAGATCAGGCCAATAAGCGGCGCAGTGAAAAATCAATCCCTGGACTTGCCTTGACCTGCTTGAGATCCTTGGAGGTTTTCCATCTTCAGCTTCACTCAACGGATTGACAGAGAGGAAGGGAGCCCTATTATAGTGTGGAGATTGAATGTCATCTTTTTAGTAGGTCAGGGACATGCCTGGGTGTAGCAATGAACACATCTGGCCAGTGGCAGAGTGGCAAAATTCAAAGTGTGGGAGCTCATCATTATAGCCGTTATAACCAGACCTGCAAGTAGACAGTTGGGTTGATTCATTGTTGTTAGGGATGGGGGTTGGAAATTCAATTAAGTTGGCTCTTTAAATGCAAACCTGCCCAATTCACATTTTTCAAAATGATGTGCAAGCAGCCAGGCTTCAAAATTTGCACTTCTCCAAATTTGGAAATGCAGTTCTCCAGCCAAGTAACGTGTCAAAAAAATGCATGTATTAGGGTAAAACATGCAGAAATATGCAAGTATTTGTGAAAATCATAGAAAACTGCACTATATTAGGGGGAAACTGGTTTGCAAAAATGTGTGCATTGGGCAAAATCACATACAAAAATTAGGTTTCTTAGGATAAATTCACACAAAAAATGCTGCTGAATTTTCACAGCAATATTTTTAAAAAGTGCAAATTGCCAAAGAAATGTGGAGAGCCGTAATTTAAGATTAGAACAATGAGAACTTGAGAAAGCCCAAAGTGACAGATCTGACCATCCCTAGTTGCTGCAAAATGTCCAACAGCAACGGGAGGAAACTATCAATGTGTTTTATGAATGATCTCAGACAGACAGGCTGGGATTTATACATGCAGGCTTTGTCCAGGGCTTTGAGAATGTCATGGTCTTAGCCTGGGACCAGACAATGTGGCTTATGGGTGGTGTTTGGGCAGGGCCAGAATAAGACCTTTAGGGGCCCTAAGCTCTTAAAAGATTTGGGTGCCCCCATTAGGGCTGCTATACATTCAGAGTTTCCCAGACATAGCCTGGATTCGTCCATCAAAAACCCAGCTGCATGGCAGCCCATACTGGAAGTACAGATTTTTTGGTGATTTTCCTAAAAAGAAAAGAGAAGCTCAACAACTTTGCCAAAAAAAGTTTGTGTCTGGACTTTCACTTTTTGAAATATGGCAACCCTAGTCCCCATATTTATCTAATTCAATATATAAACTGTAAAAATCACACACACACCCACCCACCCCGAAATGAAACGAAACCTACAGTAAGATGGGAAATAATGCTTATTTTTGTATTTATATTTTAGGGTGGAAATTCCCCTGCTTTTTCTAATTGCAAAGCCTTTGATCAGGTCCTTAAAACTAATATTACATAACACACCTGCTTCTAGAGTTAGCAGAGATAAGGCATGCCTTGTTGCATAGTTGTTCTGTTGGGATTTTTAATGTACTTCAGCGGAGAAAATGAACACTCGGCTGAGCAATTTGTGACCATTAGTGTTAAAAATCCGGCAATGGAATGTTTCTGTGGTGCCCCCCCCTTTTTTCTTGATGCATGTGTTTATTTCACTTAATGGTTAATTCAATCCTGCGTATGTGTGCTTAAATCGCTTCTGGAATGAAAGGGGCAAGGTGGGTGTGCAACAGCGGCCTCTGCAATTGGCTGGCAGTATGACTGTACAGTGGTACCTCGGATTAAGTACTTAATTCTTTCCGGAGGTCCGTACTTAACCTGAAACTGTTCTTAACCTGAAGCATCACTTTAGCTAATGGGGCCTCCTGCTGCCGCCGCGCCACCAGAGCACGATTTCTGTTCTCATCCTGAAGCAAAGTTCTTAACCTGAAGCACTATTTCTGGGTTAGCGGAGTCCGTAACCTGAAGCGTATGTAACCTGAAGTGTATGTAACCCGAGGTACCACTGTATATGCTTTATGGGGGGGGGGGGGAATGTGTCATGTGAGATGTTTCAGCTTCTCCCCAGCCATCTTCTGCCCCTCATTGCCCCACCATCTCTCATCCAGCCTCAGTCCTTGGAAACAATCGCCCAACCTAAACTTTTTCTCTGTGCTTGCAGAGGCCTCTTTGCATCTAATCTGGAGCTGTTTTTTCACTCTAGCAGTCAGCTAGACACCACCCTCCAAACTGTTTTTTACAATTTTTATGGTCAGGCAATGATACTACAGTCAGACCTCGGGTTGAGTGTGCTTCAGGTTGACCGCTTTCGGGTTGTGCTCCGCGGCAACCCGGAAGTAACGGAGCACGTTACTTCCGGGTTTCGCCGCTCATGCATGCACAGACGCTCAAAATGACGTCACGCACATGCACAGAAGCGGCAAAACACAACCCGTGCAGACGCACCATTGCATCTTACGTTCCATTCAGAATGCGAACGGGGCTCTGGAACAGATCCTGTTCGCATCCCGAGGTACCACTGTATTACATTGTGCTGGGCCCGGGGGTAACCCGTGGAACACGGTCAAGAACCAGTCCAGAATCCGAAGGTTCCACTGGGAGTCAGTCCGACAGGGTCAAGGCAGGACACGAGGCAGGAAACCCGGCAAGGACAGATACAGGATCTCAGACAGGATCTAGCATACAGCAATGTTGCTCCCACAACCTAGGGCAGGGTCCGACAGCCTTTTATCTTTGTTGGGGTAGCGGCTGGTCTTGATCCCCTGGCGGCTCACCTCCCTGTCTTGCCCAAAGGCGAGCACTCCTCCTGCGAGTACTCAGGTCTCTCCTTCTCTCAGACCTGAGTCTCTGAAGCTCGGGAGGCGTCGGTGGGTGAGTAAACCCAGGAGCCGCCTCAGCCTCCCCTGACCAAACCGGTAGTGGAGCAGCTGTAAGTGATGGCCCAGCTGGAGGCAACGAGGTAATCCCTGCATCTGGAGCCAGGGCAGGCTCAGGCCCCTGACTCAGCCCAGCTGGTGCTTATTGTTGCAGGGGAACCTGTGCAGACTGGGACTCTTCAGGATCAGACCGCATACTGGTTCAGATGATGCCTGAGGCAAAGGATCTGGTGCAGACTGAGTCTCCTCTGGTTCCGAGTCCGAGCCCAAGTCCCAGGCCATCACACCCATATGTAAAGCTGGCCTTACTGATAGTGGGTGTTTACTGCACATATCAGCAATAGTTGTTTCCTGCCTTCCACTTCTGTAACTTACTGATTAACTTTCCTGCTTTGTTTCCCTGCCCTGCCCCCCCCCGCCTCCCACAGTAAAAATAAGAGAGAGAGAAGCAAGGGAGACGAGTGGGGAAATGGAGTTGCCAGCGTCTCCAGAAAAATGCACAGAGAGTGAAATCGGCAGTTGTCTTCCCAAAGATTCTCCGCCCTTGAGTCAGCAAGGAGAAAACGAGCCCAAAAACTTCATCAGGGGTATCAGAGAAGTGCTGAGCTTCAGGGGAAACGCATCAAAATTGGCCAAAGAGAAACTGGCTGAAGCTAAAATGGATGGAGATAAAACAGAAATAAGCGGGAGGAATGGGAAATTGGAGGTGCCATCACAGCCGGAGTCTCCAGGGAAAAGTGCAGAGAGTGAAGGTGCACACTGTCCTCCCGAAAACTGTCCGTCCTTGCATAAACAAGGAGAAACTGAGCCAAAAAGCTTCATCAGGGGTATCAGAGAAACACTGAGCACCAGGAAAAGAAAGTCGCAAAGCCTCAAAGAGAAATTAAGTGACACTAACACGGATGGGCATAGAACAGAAACCAGAGAGACTGATGGGGAAATGGAGCCGACGGCAGAACCAAAGTCTCCTGCAAAACGCACGGACGGTGAAGAGGCACCGAAATCTGCCGAAGAGAAATCCACTGAAGTCAATGTGGGTGAAGATAAGGCAGAAATAAGGGAGGTGGACGGGGAAATGGAACTGCCATCAGAGCCAAGATCTCTGGCAAAACATACGGAGGGGAGTGAAGATGGCAAGCGCCTTCCCAAAGAAAAGGAGCCCCAAAACATCAATAAGATAATAAGAATGAGCTTGAGGAAAGGTAGATCAAAATCTCTCAAAGAGAAATCGGTTGAACCTAAACTGGATGAAACTAAAACAGAAATAAGGGAGAAGGAGAAGGAGGAGAAAATGGAACCTTCAGTGAACAACACAGAAGGAGAAGGTGACAATTTCTTGTCAATTGTTTTGAATGTTGTTTTTAATGCTGTAACCTGCCTTGGGACCTTAGGGTGAAGGGTGGGAAATCAATCAATCAATCATTCATTGTCTTCCCAAAGGTTATCCGCACCTGAGTCATCAAGGAGAAGACGAGCCAAAGGAATTCAAACCAATTCGGAGCTTGAGCTTGATGGGAAGTGCATCAAAACCTGTCACAGAGCAATCGGCTGAAGAAGTGGACCCCTCCAGGTCCAGCAAGCGTTTTTCATTCGTAAAGAAAAAAAAGACCAGACATCCGAAGGAGAGTAAGGAGCCTGAAGAAGAAGAAGACCATGTTCAGAACGAACCACTGTCTGGTAAGAAACTGAAGATACTGTTGCTTGATGTTGTTTTTCTGGGTTGTTCTGGATGGCAAGGCTTGAAAACAGGTGTATAGTTCTTTCAGCCTATCACAATACAGGGCATATTTACTATACCAAATCAAATATTGAAACTGAGTTGAGTGCTGGTGCCTTCCTTGTAAATTCAGTCAATAACATTTATCAGGTACCCCTACTGAACGAGACTCAATGGGTGTCCATCAGGAGCAGGGACTTTTGGGTGGTGGTGCCATCCTGACCACTGGCTGTGTTGTTTCACGGATCTCAGGGCCCTGTACCGTTCGGCCCCCTTTACTTTTTGTTCACATATCAACCTAGGGAGGATGGTTAGATCTGAAAGATACTGCTCTGGGAGCTCAGAGTCAGCTTTCTGGATGAGCAGGGAACTGAACCCAGGTGTCCCTCAGCTATTATAATTTGTGGGAACGACAATTAGGAGATTTGCTTTCTTTCTTATAAGTGCCTCTTGGACGCTGCTTTTGCTTGCTTTCAGTTTTGCGTGAGTCTCTTTTTATCTGCCGGAATGTGCTCAGTGCTTGTTTCAACTTTGCCTTGAAAGGAAAATTGGTAAATTAATTGGGGTCAGCCACTTTTTCGAAATCTAATCTTCAGCGCCTGCCAGAGCCCAAACTCTCTGTCTGTCAGCGGTATTTTGGTACAAGTTGTTACTAGCCAGCTGCCTTCGCTCACATCACACACAGAGGCACTAAGCAAATCATTTCTGTGCATGTGAACTACACAACCGCAAAGTGCAGAGCAGGTATTTAACTGGGCCTTGATGGGAGCAGTCTCTCATTACACTGCACAGTTTTATCTATCTCCATCATGTCCTTTCTTAGTCATCTTTTTCTGAACACAAAAGCTTTCAGTACAGGGGTGAACAAACCCAGGCCTGGGGGACAAATCCAGCCCTCTGGCCTGCTCCATCTGTCCATGGGACTCTCCTCAGGCCACATACCCGCTCCAGCCCTCCTTCGCACTCCCTTAAGAGTTTCTGTTTCTCTGGAATGTGCTCTTGAACTCTGATAATGACTCTAGCAGGGGACTAAATAGTACAGTCGCCTCCCTTGCATCCTCACTGTGAGCTTTTCCATCTTGCTGTGACTGTCAGTTTGCATTTCTTAGTGCAGAAAGTATTGATCTGATGTGTAGAGATCTTTTCTATTCTTCTTAATTCAAGAGGGTTCTGGAAGCTTCTCTGTGTGAAAGAAACAAGCAGAAGGTTCATGATGTTTGGGTTTGTAATGGCCTGGGATTCAGATTCGGACTTGGATGCTGAACCTGAGGGATCCCAGCCTGCACAGGATTCCCCACCTCCAGAACCAGCTGAGCCGGGGCTGGGGCCTGAGCCTGAAGGGTCCTCACCTGTGCTGGATCCTCAGGTGCAGGCACCAGCTAAGTCTGCTCTGGCTCCTGAGGTGATGGAGGACCCATTGCCTGCAGGTGCTCCACTCACAGCCCCGTCAGAGGAAGCTGAGGTTGCCTCTGGGTCTGGTAACCCTCCAGCCTCTCCTGAACTGCAGAGGCTCAGGGCAGAGAGACAGAGGGAACTAAGTTCACACAGGAGGAGTGCTCGCCTCCAGGCCAGGAGAGGCGAGTCACCTGTGGATCAGGGCCGCCCTATGCCTCGGGGCAGATAAAAACCAGCCAGCCCCAGTCCCAGGAGCAATGTTGGTGGTTGTCAGTCCCTGCCTGAACCCTGCCCTGCACCCAGCTTTGACTTTTACGGACTGCCTTCATCTTGCTTCATCGACCATGGACTGGACTTGGACCTTGCCTCTTGATTAACCCCCGGGACCAGCACAGGGTTATTCCTCCAGAGAAGCTGAGTACAGCTGGTTTAAACTGTTATCTCTTCAGTCAAGGCCAGAAGGAAGCTGGGTTTCACTTTCTCTTTCTATTTCTTTTCCTTCTGGTGTTCTGTATGTAGTGTTAAGGTTTAGACTTATTATAAGTTATTGTAAGTTTAAGTTAAGTCTGCTGCAACTGGACTTCTTATGGGCAGTGCCAATCCTGAATGTACTGATTTGTGACCATTATGTTCATTTGCCTTCAGTAGCAGTAAAGCTCTCCTGGATGAAATATTAATTGCCTCTGGTCTATTTTTGGGGAATCCTGCAATGTGTTTAAGTTTTTACTCTGCTAACTATGCATTAGAGTTCTGCTCTGGATCAATATTGAGTAGAATTCCATGACAGTGACTTCCTCGCAAAGCATTTTGAGGACAAAACCACTTGCATCCACTGTGATCTTGACTCCACTTTTACAGCAGATAAATATCATGAGGTATGCAGAGCACTGTCTAAGGCTGGATCTGCACTGATCTTTTAAACATTATTATCATTTTAAAATGTCACAGGCATTCCCTTACCTTTAACACATGGTTTCCCAATTGCCAGCGGCTGTTTAATGCATTCTTAATGTTATAGGGAAAACATAATTTGCCCTTATACAGTATGAAAACCATTCTTAAAGCTCCCTTAATGTTATAAACCATGAGTGTAGATCTGCCCTAGTCTTGTTGTGTTGGATGAGTTTCAGTTAGCAAGACTCAGCGATGTGGAGAAGGTGCTTGGACTGGTTAGGGCAACCACTGGCACTCTTAGCTGATAAAAACTAGCAAGGAGGGGACAGCTGGCTGGGCCAGGGAGGTGATTAAGGATTCCTTGCAGGTGGGTTGGTCCCTGCCTACCTGAATGAGGCAGTGGTAAGACCACTCCTCATGAAACCTCTCTGGATTCGGAAAATCTAAGTAATTACCAGCTAGTTGCCAATATCATAACACTGGTCCTGAGATATCTGCATTGGCTCCCAGTACATTTCCGAGCATAATTGAAAGTGTTGGTGCTGACCTTTAAAGCCCTAAATGGCCTCGGTCCGGTATACCTGAAGGAGCGTCTCCACCCCCATCGTTCAGCCCGGACACTGAGATCCAGCGCCGAGGGCCTTCTGGTGGTTCCCTAACTGTGAGAAGCTAAGTTACAGGGAACCAGGCAGAGGGCCTTCTCAGTAGTGGCGCTTGCCCTGTGGAAGATGTGAAGGAATTAAGCAGCTATCTTATCTATAAAAGACATCTGAAGGCAGCCCTGTTTAGGGAAATTTTTAATATTTAATGCTGTATTGTTTTTAACACTCGATTGGAAGCCGCCCAGAGTGGCTGGAGAAACTCAGCCAGATGGGTGGGGTATAAATAATAAATTGTTGTTGTTGTTGTTGTTGTAATAATAATATCTCACCTTTGGGGGAAGGTTTCTTGAGCGGGTGGTCCTGAATCAGATCCAGGCACTGTTGGGGTAAACTGATTTTCTAGATCCATTTCAATCGGGGTTTAGGCTCAGTTTTGCCACAGAAGCTGCTTTTGGTTCTCCTCAACCTCTCAGCTGCTTCTGATGCCATCAACAATTGTATCCTGAAAAACAACATCTGGAGGTCCACAGGTTTCCTCATGTCTGGAATAGATGGACCTTCAGTGTGATCCAGCAAGTCTCTTCACTTGCACTTATGAACTGGTTAGGATAAAACCAATAAAACTTTTTATTCATAGCAGAAATGTTTTGGGGGTAAAAACAATGTCAGAATAGAAGTAAGGAAATGCAAACTTTTCATTCCAGTAGAACATTTGCCACCTGTATTTGGGGAAGGAGAACCTGCAGGCCCTTCAGAAGTTCTTGGACATGGTCAATGGCCAGGGAAGATTAGAGCTGTAGTCCTGGAATCCCTGAAAGTCCACAAGTTCCCCACAGCTGTTGTAAAGGATTAAAGCAGTAGTTTTCAACCAGTGTGCCGTGGCACCCTGGGATGCCTGGAATGGTAGTCAGCAATGTCGCAGGCAACACTGGCCTCTGTCCCTCTTTCCTTCCCTCCCTCCTCTGATGCCCTCTCACGTCTCTGCCTCCCAAAGGCTTGTACAGCTGCTTATTGCAGCAGCCCTGGCTACAAGCTTCACAGGCGAATGGTGCCTCAGGGGGTGCTGGTTGCCAGGAGCTGAGGCAGCCTTGAAGTAAGCAAGCAAGTGGGCAAGGGAGCCCAGCCAGCCACTCCACCAGCCCTTCCTGCTGGGAATGAACAGACAAGTAAGTCCCAGGCCCCTGTGGGGCAGTGTGAGGAGGCACCTCTCTTTGAGATGAGGGGGCAGCTCAGAGACCAGGAGTGGTGGCAGCGGCTGCCCAGAAGACTCCCAAGGAGAGGAGAGGAGGCTGAGGGAAGATTCTAGAAGGGAGGGTGCCTGAAAAAGGGCAAGAGGCTGCCAGCTTTGCAGGCAAGGGGTGACATAACATGACTCCTGAGCCCCACAAGGGTGCCGCAGAAAGAATGTAGTTGGTCAAAGGAGCTGTGGAGTCGAAAAGGTTGAAAACCTCTGGATTAAAGTACAAGGAGCCAGCCTGGTGTAGTGGTTAAGAGCGGTGGACTCGTAATCTGGTGAACCGGGTTCGCGTCCCCGCTCCTCCACATGCAGCTGCTGGGTGACCTTGGGCTAGTCACACTTCTCTGAAGTCTCTCAGCCTCATGCACCTCACAGAGTGTTTGTTGTGGGGGAGGAAGGGAAATGAGATTGTTAGCTGCTTTGAGACTCCTCAAGGGGAGTGAAAGGCGGGATATCGAGTCCAAATTCCTCCTCCTCTTCCTCTTCTTCTTCTTCTTCTTCTTCTTCTTCTTCTCTTGAGAACACAGAAGTAGTTCTGTAACTCCTTTTGTTCTTGTTCTGCATGAAAGAGCCGCCTCCTGCTGTGAGACAATAGACAAAGCATCTTGTTTAGGTTTCGTTTTATTCAACAGAGCATGGATGGGACACCTCTGGCCCTCCGGATGTTTATTGACTCCAGCTCCCACCAGCGCAAGTGTTATGTACTGAGTTGAATAGGATCCAAACTGCAGCAGTCTGATTGGTCCTAGAACAATGCAGCAGTATGACTGGTTGGCAGGAACTACCCAATCATGCTCCAGATATAAGTGAATCCACAACCTGATTGGCTTACAGTAGAATTCCAGAATTAGCCAGTCATGTGCAGCCCATTGTGTAAATAATGTATATAAAGCAGATACTTTGAGGGGACTTTCATTCATTCCTCCTCACCACTATGAGCTGAATAAAGAGCATGAAATCACTTTGCGACTCTGAGTATATTTCAGCAAGCCAGCTTGGCTAATGGTCAGGGATTTGGGGGGCTGGAGTCCAGCAACAAGTAAGAGGTCACAGGTTCCCCACTACTGTCCCAGAGGAACTATTCCAAATTATTTCTGAAGAGGAAAACATGCAGTAGATGTGGCTTGCTCTCACACTCCAATTCTCTCTTTAGTTATGCAGATAAATGAACTTATTAAAAACGGGCAACTTCCAGAAGCCTTCAAAAACATCAAGGGTTTAGAAAGGGAGCTTCTGGCTGAAATAGATGCCAAGAAATATGAAGACAACCCCAAGGAATGCATTGTGAAGGCCAAGGACATTGACTTGCTCTACGACTTGGTTTCTAAGGCCATCCAGCGCATTGTGGAGGAAACCCTGGAGCTTCCCAGGGTAGATGCAAAGGCTTTAAACACTCTTGTGACTCTGATCGCAGAGGAAGAAAAAGCCCATGCTGGGGCTACAAGCATCGCTGCCCCATCTGAGGCTGTGTCCAACCTTGGGTTAGCCAGGAACTGGAGGCAGCTTTGGGAAGACACTGTCAAGCGAAGTGTGGAAATCAGGGTCTCAAAAGTGCCTGTGCCACTGAAAGAGGACAACACCTCTTGGCTGTCGATACACTTAGGATATCTCAAAGAAGTCGTAAGAACAGATTTGTTGACAATCAAGCACTGGGTACACAAATGCTATCCACCAGACTACAGTGTGGGCGATGCATACCTGAAGGCTTTCCACAAAGCCCTCTCTTTGCATTTACAAAGCATCCTGGAAGAAGATGAGAGCATGGGATGCAATCAATTCTATGCAGTACTCAACTGGGTCACTAATGTATATCGCAGGTAGGTTTCCCATTAATCACATGATTAGGAAAAGGTAAAGGACCCCTGGATAGTTAAGTCGCAGATATTGTTTGGTCCATGTCACAAGCTATAGGTGCTGCAGTGTTCAGTAAAAAAGGTAAAGGTAAAGGACCCCTGGACAGTTAAGTCCAGTCAAAGGCAGCAATGGGGTTGTGGAGCTCATCTCGCTTTCAGACAGAGGGAGCCGATGTTTGTCCACAGACAGCTTTCCGAGTCATGTGGCCACCATGTCTATACAACTTCTGGCGCTACAAGACACTGTGACAGAAACCAGAGTGCACGGAAATGCTGTTTACCTTCCTGCCACAGCGGTACCTATTTATCTACTTGCACTGGCGTGCTTTTGAACTGCTAGGTTGGCAGGAGCTGGGACAGAGCAATGGGAGCTCACCCCATCGCGGGGATTCGAACCGCTGAGCTTCCGATCGGCAAGCCCAAGAGGCTCAGTGGTCTAGACCACAGCGCCACCCATGTCCATGTGATTTCCATGTGATCAAGATGCAGCAGGATTGTACCGCTGACCCCTCCCACATGCTTGTGTGGATTCCTTCTGCCTCTCCTTCATATTTTTGTTACCCTGGAATCCAGTAATTACTAGGACACCATTGGAGGCTACAGAGTCACTGGATAATGAAATGAACCTGATTCCTGGCTCTAGGTCTGATGCTGGTAATCTGCTTTGTGCATCTCTACATTTTGTAAAGTTTAAAATTAAAAAAAATACAAAACACTGTATGCTACAAAAAAGTGCACACGAAAAGCATGCAAAATTATTATTATTATTATTATTATTATTATTATTATTATTATTTTATTTTATACTGCCCTTCCAAAGATCCCAGGATAGTTCACAACAGAAAAATACAAAATGAGAATACAGAATGCATAATAAAACAAAAACAAACCAATAACCCTTCTCCGACAAAAACATTTTAAAAGCCATATATTTTTAAAACGTGTATGTTAGTAAAAATAACACACCAAAAGGAATTAGATTAGGGACCACCCCAGCTGCTGCCCTCCTTTCCTTTAAAGCGATGGGAGGGAAAGACTTTGCCAAGACCAGTAAGGTATTTTCTGTAAGCCAGATTCTGTCCACAGGCTTCTGGACGAAGGTCCCAGATGTAGAAACATCATGGAATGCTGTTTTTGTTTTTGTAGTGAAAATCTCTTAGGATGCCCAGATCTTAAACCAGAAATAAAAACTGAAGCTCTGCCGGATTTGTTAACTTCAGAAGATTTAGACAAACTGAAGAGCAACTACGTTAACTCTGTCCAGGTAACATCTCAATTTCCTTGTATAAATCAAAGGAGAGGGTGGGGAAGTTTGCATCACTGATTGAATCCTTTGAAACCAAACACATGCTGCTTTTATTCCAGACTGTAGCATTCAGTGCCCCAACTTCCTTTGGAATGAAGTGATCGCCTTAGAAAATGCATTTATGAATGGGATCCAAAGGCCCCTTAAACTTCCACAGGAGCAATGCATTATTTGTTGAATGGAGAGTCCTTGTCTACTTCCTGGTTTACATATGGGGATGGGGGTGGGGGGAATTTGATTCAATTATCATTTAAAGGCAAACCTATCCAGTGCTCAGGGATGCGGGTGGCGCTGTGGGTTCAACCACAGAGCCTAGGGCTTGCCGATCAGAAGGTCAGCGGTTTGAATCACCGCAACGGGGTGAGCTCCCATTGTTCGGTCCCAGCTCCTGCCAACCTAGCTGTTCGAAAGCACGTCAAAGTGCAAGTAGATAAATAGGTACCACTCCGGTGGGAAGGTAAACAGCATTTCCGTGCACTGCTCTGATTTGCCAGAAGCGGCTTAGTCATGCTGGCCACATGACCCGGAAGCTGTACGCTGGCTCCCTCAGCCAATAAAGCAACATGAGCACCGCAACCCCAGAGTCGGTCACGACTGGACCTAATGGCCAGGGGTCCCTTTACCTTTACCTTTAACAGACCCTAGGCCACAACAAAGGCATGCAGTAGGGCATAATCGCCAACATTTCTCCGATGAAAATAGGGATGCAAGGAGCATTGAGAAGTGAGTGTGAGCTCTTTTCATCAAAGCCCCATGACGGGTTCATTTAGTGTGCAGGTTTGACTAATGTACACATTCTTGGAAGCAATTTCCCCTAATATAATGAAACTTTTGTACGTTATTTTTACTTTACCCTAATAATATGTATTTTATACACATTACTTGCCTGGAGAACTGCATTGCTAAATTCGGCAAATTCTCAAGGATGGCTGTGTTTTGCGGTTCAACATTTCGTTTGCAAAAGGGAAGATTTGAATGGTTTGTCTTTAAATGCGGACTGAATTGAATTCTCACCCACCCACCCACACTTAGCAATGGGCCACACTGTTTTGCAAGGCAGTTTGTCTGCCCTTGCTGATTTTTCTCAAGCAGCAGAACTTGACTAGCTTCCAAAGCATCTTTTGCATCCATTTTGAAAACTATTTTACTGGAGAGCTACAAGGAACTGGGATGCGTGTGCATAAAAGAAGTGTCTGCATATATGATTATGTTGATCTGTGTTGTTCCCCTTTATCTAAATATTTAGCAGGAAACCAAGAACTGCTTGGAGAATATTTTGATGCTGGAGACCAAGGAAAAGTGGAAAGGACAGCCAGATGAGCGGAAAAACCCATACGATTCGTTGCTGTCCTACGATATTCAAACGGTATTTGCTGAGATTGTTCATAGCACATGCATGTTCTTTGATTCCAGGGAAATTGAAATATTACCTTCTGGTATGTAGGTGTCGCCTACTGTGCTAATTTATGTTAGTCACGTCCTTGGAGAATGTATTAGCAAAATGTAGTTTTATTACAATTTTTAACACTGCCACCCCTCGCTTCCTAGCTACAAATTAAACCTGCTGTCAATTGTGTCACAGACATAATAGGCAACTGATTTTTAGAGTCTTTTTAGAAGGAAGGAAGGAGTGCAGAGAACAGGGTTGTTACAAAAAGACATTTGGTGTGGAGAAACCACTTGCTACTAGGCCTGCAGCAGCCTCGAAAAAAGAGAAAGAAGGAGAGAGAAATTGGGGGTGGTGTGTGTGACCACAACAGAATGACAACCTCCCACATTTTTAAAGAGAGAGAGAGAAATAAAAGCCCCTGCTAGATTTAGGGATTGGGAGATCAATGAAGCCAGGAGGAACTCGTATTTTTGCAATTTGCAGTGGGCTGAGTCATTTCAGTTAAATAAAATGCAAAAGAAATAATAAACCCATATTGGGAGAAAATTAAATTTAAGGTGAGGTGTTTTGGAGGGAGGGCTTTTTGTTCTGCTGCCATTACTAACGTTTCATGGGATCATTATATGTTTTCAATAATCAAAAAGTATATGGATTAGCAGAAGTGTTGGGAATTTTGTAAGGGGGTGCAGCAATTGCCTTTGTGTCCTGTTTGCTGGCTTCCCTGAGGATCGGCTTTGACCACCTTACAGAAATAGGAAGTTGGATGCAGCGGACCTGATTCAGCAGCAAGGCACGTCTTATGATGTTAGTCTAGCAGGCTTCCTCAACCTCAGCCCTCCAGATGTTTTGAGACTATAATTCCCATCATCCCTGACCACTGGTCCTGCTAGCTAGGGATCATGGGAGTTGTAGGCCAAAAACATCTGGAGGGCCCGAGGATGTTAGTTAAGGCACGGCCGTCCCTCAGAAATCAGAATAACACAGGCCTGCTGGTAGGGATGGAGCAGAAATGTGATTCCGTTTGCATTTAAAGGCAGCCCTGCTTAATTCACACTTTCTGAAATAAAATGAGATCCTTCAGAAATTGCACTTCTCAAAAGCTACACCCCACACACTTTTTTAAACCTTTCCCTGACCTTTGAAAAAATGATGAGGTGTTTTACTACCCCAGTTGGTTAAACTTCTGGCAAATAGATTTCCCTAGCCTCACCCAGGTCCTTCTTGTTTCCTCTTTGCAAAATGCAAGCTCTGGCATGTTCTGTGTCTGCCACACCTGAAAAAATCATTGAGGTGCCCATTGTACTCATCAAACAAAGCCATTGCCTCTCTGCTTTTTGTTACATCCCTTGTCCCCTTTGGTCCAGCTCGCCAAACAACACAGAAAGGTAGCCGGCTGCATATGCGAAAAAGTGGAAGACGCCGTTCTCAAAGGTATCGTGAAAGAAGTGACAGAATTCCTACCACGGTAATGTCTGCTTGTTTCAAAGTACCAGTGTCTAAACTGGATCACGTTTTATGCTTAATGGTTCTAGCAAATAGGCATGATGGAAAAGCATCAGCTGTTCTGAGGACGTAGCTGAGGCTTTAGCTCAAGTGCAGAGGCAAATGCTTCCTCTTCAAATGAATCCAAATTCTGATTCTGACATCGCCAGCAAAAATAACTTCAGACGGAAGAGCTGGAAAAGAAATCTGGGGCCTGTTTGACCATCTCTGCAAATCTCAGTGTCCCCAGCACCAACTAGTAGTCAAATGCATATTGCTTCTCTAAGCATGAAGGACCCATTTTAGCTGACCTGGCCAAACATGATTGATAAAACTATCATCCAACAACTCCTCTGACTGGGAGCCAGTGTGGTGTAGTGGTTAAGAGCGGTAGTCTCGTAATCTGGGGAACCGGGTTCGCGTCTCCGCTCCTCCACATGCAGCTGCTGGGTGACCTTGGGCCAGTCACACTTCTTTGAAGTCTCTCAGCCCCACTCACCTCACAGAGTGTTTGTTGTGGGGGAGGAAGGGAAAGGAGAATGTTAGCCACTTTGAGGCTCCTTAAAGGGAGTGAAAGGCGGGATATAAAATCCAAACTCCTCCTCCTCCTCCTCCTCTTCTTCTTCTTCTTCTTCTTCTTCTTCATTTTATTTTATTTTTGTATATAATTTTTATTAAATTTTCTAAATTACATTTCAAAATATTCATTTAAACAACCTTAAACCAATGACTTTCCTTCTTCTCTTTCTGTGGTTCATTTTGCATAACATACATCCCTGCATATTTTACATACACTAAACCATTCAGTAGTCCATCAAAACTTATTTACACTGTTGGATTTATCTTAATGCTACCAGCGTTTTTAAATGAACCCAATTTTCACCCATATATTCAGTAAACATTTTCCAGTCTTCTTTATACGTGTGTTCTTCTTGTTCTCTTATTTTATATGTTAAATCTGCAAGCTGCACATATTCCATCAGTTTAAGTTGCCATTCTTCTTTGGTTGGAACCTCACTTGTTTTTCATTTGGGGGCTAACAAAACACGGGCCGCAGTAGCGGCATACATAAATAGGCTTTTTTAACAGTTGGGAATTATCCCCAATGAAAAGGACTCTGGTGTTTTTTTTGAAAGGTACTTTTAAACGGGTTTTTCCCCCCAAATAATTATATATCATTTCCCAATCCTCTTTTACCAGTCCACCACATATGATAAAATGTACCTTAAACATCATTACATCTCCAGCACTTATGTGATTCGGACTTATACATTTTAGCAAATCTACTTGACATTAAATACCATCTGTAAATCATTTTCAAAGATGCTGTTCACATGCTGTGAACTTCAAATCACTCTCCCAAAGTTTTTCCCAGCTCCTCTGACTTTTAAAAAACCCACATTAGACAGTGGAGTTTGTTGTAAAGGAAGCCAAGCTGTGAATCCCCCAGCCAGTAGGTTATTCCTTAACCCCATGGCTCTTGGACTAGACAGACAGGATTTCTGCTAATCCTCAAATGCAGGATTCCTCTAACAGGAAAGGATGCTGAAGTCTGTGGTGTTTATGCTTGTTCTGTGTTTATCACTGGTTAGTGGCCATTTTTAATTAGCCACAATTTTATTACAGCTTTGGGAAAGCATTTTTGGACCAAGCGAAAGATCACCCCCAGTTTCTGATGTTCATGATGGCCTACCTTAACAGCTTCCAGGACTTGAGGTAAACCTGTTTTTTTTCCCATCACCCTGTGTTTGAAGAGGAGATGTTGGACCAGATCTTAGGATTTAGCACAGAAGGCAAATTGGTTGTGTTCTTTTGGACAATGGAACGTCCAGGGATCGTTTTGCAGGGAAAATACAATTCCTCAGTCTCCACACATTGTGCTGGGTGGAAGTACCAGTATCAGGGGAACTTATCCAACAAAGGTAAATTAAGGTGTGACACAGGTTCCCTATGCCCATTTTACTGCCTTACAATTTCTTTTTAGAAAGCAGCCCTGCACAAAAATTACTAGTGCACCCCCAAAAAGATGAACCTGCCCACTAAGAGGCCAGTAACCCCCTTTTCCATTCTGGTTATGGAGATAGGAAATTAGACACACACCGCTTTCATACCCTCCAACATTTATCCAATGAAAATAGGGGCATCTATTATTATTATTATTATTATTATTATTACACCACCCATCTGACTGGGTTGCCCCAGCCACCAACATACAGTATATAAAAACATAATAAAACACTAAACATTAAAAAACTTCCCAATACAGGCATGCCTTCAGGTGTCTTCTAAAGGTTGAATACAGTGGTACCTCAGGTTAAGAACTTAATTCGTTCTAGAGGTCTGTCCTTAACCTGAAACTGTTCTTAACCTGAGGTACCACTTTAGCTAATGGGGCCTCCCGCTGCTGCTGCACTGCTGGAGCACGATTTCTGTTCTCATCCTGAAGCAAAGTTCTTAACCCGAGGTAATATTTCTGGGTTAGTGGAGTCTGTAACCTGAAGCGTATGTAACCTGAAGCGTATGTAACCCAAGGTACCACTGTAGTTACTTATCTTAGAATCATAGAATAGAATCATAGAATCATAGAGTTGGAAGAGACCACAAGGGCCATCGAGTCCAACCCCCTGCCAAGCAGGAAACACCATCAGAGCACTCCTGACATATGGTTGTCAAGCCTCTGCTTAAAGACCTCCAAAGAAGGAGACTCCACCACACTCCTTGGTAGCAAATTCCACTGTCAAACAGCTCTTACTGTCAGGAAGTTCTTCCTAATGTTTAGGTGGAATCTTCTTTCTTGTAGTTTGGATCCATTGCTCCATGTCCGCTTCTCTGGAGCAGCAGAAAACAACCTTTCTCCCTCCTCTATGTGACATCCTTTTATATATTTGAACATGGCTATCATATCACCCCTTAACCTCCTCTTCTCCAGGCTAAACATGCCCAGCTCCCTTAGCCGTTCCTCATAAGGCATCGTTTCCAGGCCTTTGACCATTTTGGTTGCCCTCCTCTGGACACGTTCCAGTTTGTCAGTGTCCTTCTTGAACTGTGGTGCCCAGAACTGGACACAGTACTCCAGGTGAGGTCTGACCAGAGCAGAATACAGTGGCACTATCTTCTTGGCTCAGGGGTCGTATAACTCCATAGCCTCCAACATCTCTCCAGTGAAAATAGGGATGTCCTAAGGAAAAGTGGGACATTCCCGGATCAAATCAGAAACTGGGACGGCTTCTGTAAATCCAGGACTGTCCCTTTAAAATGGGGACACTTGGAGGTGCATTCGCCCATAGTCACCATGGAAATCAATGCAATAAAAATTAACATGCAATCGGAAAGACAAGAGAGACAAAAACACGTTATCATCTTACAGCCATTCAAAATCTATTTAAACACAAAATATAACAAAGCGTTAAAAAATATATATCAGTAGCCCATTTCACATATATAGTATGTTTTTAGATTTTATTTTATGCACTAGCATTATTCTGCCTCTAGGTGGCAGGGCACCTCCAGTAATTAGCAAGACAGTAGAAGGGGCTGGAAATAAATTCAGCTTGTTACTGTCATTTTTTTTATCCACAGAAGAAACCCAAGCAGGCAATTAAAAGAAAAACAAGAAATTATTGTGTAAACGTAAATATACATTTTTTTGTTTTGAAGGATTAGTACACCCAGCAATGTGTGGGATGCATTTTTTTCTCCAAACATGGTTAAAAAACAAACAAAAACAATTGCAATAACTAGGGATGAGCAAATCTGTCAGTGTTGATTGTACTTAGTTTCTTGTTTTTCCCGCCTTCAATTCACCACATTTCTGCACCAGTTGGCAATTTTAAAAAGAAGCTGCTCGTGAAAATTCATCTGCATTTTAGTGTACATTTCTCTTATTATTGTTGTTGTTGTTTAGTCGTTTAGTCGCGTCCAACTCTTCGTGACCCCATGGACCAGAGCACGCCAGGCACTCCTGTCTTCCACTGCCTCCCGCAGTTTGGTCAGACTCATGCTGGTAGCTTCGAGAACACTGTCCAACCATCTCGTCCTCTCTCGTCCCCTTCTCCTTGTGCCCTCCATCTTTCCCAACATCAGGGTCTTTTCCAGGGAGTCTTCTCTTCTCATGAGGTGGCCAAAGTATTGGAGCCTCAGCTTCAGGATCTGCCCTTCCAGTGAGCACTCAGGGCTGATTTCCTTAAGAATGGATAGGTTTGATCTTCTTGCAGTCCATGGGACTCTCAAGAGTCTCCTCCAACACCATAATTCAAAAGCATCAATTCTTCGGCAATCAGCCTTCTTTATGGTCCAGCTCTCACTTCCATACATCACTACTGGGAAAACCATAGCTTTAACTATACAGACCTTTGTTGGCAAGGTGACATCTCTGCTTTTTAAGATGCTGTCTAGGTTTGTCATTGCTTTTCTCCCAAGAAGCAGGCGTCTTTTAATTTCGTGGCTGCTGTTACCATCTGCAGTGATCATGGAGCCCAAGAAAGTAAAATCTCTCACTGCCTCCATTTCTTCCCTTTCTGTTTGCCAGGAGGTGATGGGACCAGTGGCCATGATCACACATTATCAACTAGTATACACATTACTGCAAACAATTTCCTCCAATACGTAGACATGTTTGTGCATACTTTTTGTTGTTGCTGCTGCTGTATGGCATTGCAAAATTCAGAGAAGTGCAGATTTTAGGATAACTGTGTTCCTATTTGTGTATTGCGTTGGAAAGTATGAATTAGGTAGGTTTGCGTTAAAATGTGAAGCGAATGAATTTCACTCCTTCATCCCTAGTTTGGGTTTCCTTTGGAATGAGCTACAGCAGAGACTTTGATGTCTTTATGATATACAGTTTATTTACACATATATGTGACCTGAGCTGACAGCATTAACACCCCAAGACAACTTTGCTTCCCCCATAGCTGCAGCCTTGGATTCAAACTGAAATCAAGCATCGCTCTCACTCTCTGCCTTCCCAGCCTGTTGCTTTCCCCCTTCTAGGTCACGTCACTCAACTCCCCATTCTGGCCTTTTCTCTTTCTAATAACCAGCCGGTCGAGGGAGGAGCCCCACCCCTTCGTCATCTAGCACAGATCCATTTCCTTTGTTGCATTAATGGCGCACAAACCTAGGCTATCACCTCACCAGGAATTTGAATCCTTCCTCATAGAGCCAGTGTGGTGTAGCGGTTAAGAGTGGTAGACTCGTAATCTGGTGAACCAGGTTCGCATCTCTGCACCTCCACATGCAGCTGCTGGGTGACCTTGGGCCAGTCACACTTCTCTGAAGTCTCTCAGCTCCACTCACCTCACAGAGTGTTTGTTGTGGGGGAGGAAGGAAAAGGAGATTGTTAGCAGCTTGGAGACTCCTTACAGTAGTGATAAAGCGGGATATCAAATCCAAACTCCTCTTCTTCTCATGGTTTAACACTTGGATCCCCAATAATGCTAATAATTATTATTATTTATACCCTCCCATCTGGCTGGGTTTCCCCAGCCACTGTGGGCGGCTTACAGCACATAAAAGCATTAGACATTAAGAAAATTTCTGATACAGGGTTGCCTTCAGATGTCTTCTAAAAGCTAGGTAGTTGTTCATTTCCTTGACATCTGGTGGAAGGGCATTCCACAGGGCAGGCGCCACTACCAAGAAGGCCCTCTGCCTGATCCCTGTGACTTCACTTCTTGCAGAAGGCCCTCGCCGCTGGACCTCAGTGGCTGAACAATGGGGGTGGAGACGCTCCTTCAGGTATACTGGGCCGTGGCCGTTTAGGGCTTTAAAGGTCAGCACCAACACTTTGAATTGTGCTTGGAACGTACTGGGAGCCAATGTAAGTCTTTCAGGACCAGTGTTATATGGTCTTGGCAGCCACAAATCCGCTCCACCCCATGCTTGCATTAAGCTGCGATTCAAAACATAGAAAGCTGTTTTACACCCATTTGGGCCATTGGTCCATGTAGATCAGTACTGTCTACACTGGCCAGCAGTGGCTCTCCAGGGATTCAGGCAGGGTAAGGGCAGGAGCATCTTACCCATAGAGGCTAGCGGCGCCAAGTTCTGGAGGGCGCCAGGGAAGAGGCGGAGGCTGGACGCAGCACCTCCCGGCATCAGCTCGCCCGCCTCGCCCACCTCCGCCATGCCGCACTGAAGCAGCACCGCGCCCGGAGCCTTCGTCTGCCGTGGCCACCGTGGCACGAAGCAGCCAGCTGAGCTGGGAGACCCTGTGCCCAGCCTCCACCTCTTCCCCACCGGAGGAGCCACCCTCCAGCCGCCGTCCGCCTCCTCCAGCCCTGCCGGCAGCACCGTCCTCCCTAAAAAACTCTGGGAAATGGGGGGGCGCTGGAGGGAGCTTTGCACCACAGCGCCAGATATGCTTAAGACAGCCCAACCTCTGAAGAGCCACAGGTTCCCAGCGCCCTGCTCTAGAGCCAGCATGCTGTTTCCAGGCCCCAGGTTCACCAGTTCCTAGATTGTGTGCTGTGTTTGTTTGTTTTTTACAATAATATTTATTAATTTTCATAGATAAACATAACAAAAAGGAAAAAAATAAAAAAATAAAAAACTTAAAGTACATAAAATGGAAAAATAATTCAATTAGTTAATTAAAATCCATTTTCATAAACATATTGCTTGACTTCCTCTAATCTCTTCCATCTGAATTTCCTCGTAATTAAATGTAGCAGTTTCCAATATCATTATTTCATAAAACAATATTACAGTCATATTCCAATTTCCTAACTTTTCTTATAGTACATTTTCTTATTTATATATTTAAGTCTAATTTAATCCTAGGCCTGATTAGTTCTTTCAAGTGGTTACATATCTTTAATATTACAATATTTATTCAAATAGTCTTTAAATTTCTTCCAGTCTTCTTGGTGTTCCTCTTCTTTCTGGTCTCGGATTCTCCCTGTGTTACACATCTTAACCACAGTACACCACCTTCTCAATCACTTTCTTGATTAGATTAGAGACAAATTGACGGACTGATTTCAATATCACCAGATGAATGATATTTTTAACAAAGATAAAATAAAACATGGCTTTAATAAGAGTAAATCAAACATAGAATTAATATTAATAGAAGGAAAGGCCAAATTATTAACCAGGGTCTACAATTATCTACAATTAAATACAGATGAGGAAATCAAAGTGGTAATGACGAAATGGGCAATAGATGTGGGTCACAACATCCAGTTTGAGGCATGGTCTAAACTCTGGAACAAGGGCATAAAATTTACGGCATGCACTGTATTAAAGGAAAACATCAGGAAGGTGATGTATCGATGGTATCTCACCCCAACCAAGTTGGCAAAAATGTACAGTATTAGAAGTGAAAGATGCTGGAAATGTTTAGATAAGGATGGCGATTTTTACCACATGTGTAAAAAAACAAAGGTGTTTGGGGACAGTATATACAATGAACTTAGAAAAAATGTTTAGAGATACCGTACCTTCCCTAAAAGGCCGGAGGCATTTATTTTAAGAATGGTTGGGGATGAGATACCAGATGAGATGCTTGTTACACATCTTAAGCACAGTACGCCCCCTTCTCAATCACTTTCCTGAATCCATCCACTGCTTGACGGACCCCAGAGCACAAATATCTCATGCAGCACCGGTTTTTCCTCCTTTCAGCCAGCAGGTAAACAGTGTCACCATCCTGGGATTCCCTGACGGATCCCACCCTGTGGCTGACGGCTTGGGGGGAATTCCAGAAGCGTATCCATCACTCAGGAAGCAAAACACAGACCCGCTCCTAAGCCAACTGGCAAAGGGGGATGTGGAGCTAGGCATTCTCATACCCTCCAACATTTCTCCCATGAAAATCAGGACGTCCCATTCCATAATAATCATTCTACTATTTATAACCCCACACATCTTACTGGGTTGCCCCAGCCACTCTGGGCAGCTTCCAACATATCTAAAAACATAATAAAACATTACATTTTTCTTTTAAAAAAACAAAACAAAAAACAAAACCTTCCCTATACAGGATTGCCTTCAGATGGCTGGGGGGTCAGATCATTCTGTACCCTCCAACATTTCTCCAATGAAAAGAGGGACATCCTAAGGAAAAGTGGGGCATTCCAGGATCAAATCAGAAACTAGGATGGCTTCTCTAAATCAGGGGCGTCCCTGGAAAATAGGGACACTTAGAGTGTCGGTGTTATGTACTGAGTTGAATAGGATCCAAAATGCAGCAGTCTGATTGGTCCTAAAACAATGCAGCTGTATGATTGGTCTGCAGGAGCCACCCAATCCAGCTCCAGGTGGAAGTGAATTCGCAACCTGATTGGCCTACAGGTGAATCCCAGAATTAGCCAATCACGTGGGGCCCATTGTGTAAATAATGTATATAAAGCAGACACTTTGGGAGGACTTGCATTCCTCACTACTATGAGCTGAATAAAGAGCATGAAATCCACACTTGACTCCGAGTATATTTCACATTTGCAAGAAATATAGAAAGACAGGCTTTGTGGAACTCCTCAAGGGATATCTCTGCATACCCCAGTTCCTGACCTGGAGGGAGGGGGAATCCATCTTGGAAGAAAGGTGGGGTAGAAATTTGAAAAGCCCAGCCAGCACATTTGGTGAAAAGACTTCTATATAGGATCTAAAAATACACAGATTTATTAAAATGTAATCAATTTGTTAACTGATTAATCGGTTCAAAGCCAAAACCTTTAATTGGTGCACGACTCCTCTTTCGATTCTTCTCTTTATCATTACTTTGAGTTCATTCTTACTGGTATGCAGCGATCAAGCTGGCAAGTTGCCATCTAGCATGCAATTTAATTTCAGGCTTTTAATTTCACCTTCGCTTCTCTTCCTAGCGATGGGAAATTAAGGCTTCTAATTAAGACAGAGGTTGGCAAAAATCAATTTGGATCTTTGGGAAATGCCATTTATTTTGAAGTTGTTAAAAGAGCGAGGTGTTTAATTAGGATAACCAGCGGGAAAATAAGCGGCCGAAAGAAAACCTTAAATTTCAACATCGTTCTATTTGGCCTTCTTTGATCTTCGTCAGAAATCAGAGTGAAATTATTTAGCTGTGGGTTCCTAGACTGTTTGCTCTACACTAAATAGCAAGTAATGCGGGTGGTGCTGTGGTCTAAACCACAGAGCCTGGGGCTTGCCGATCAGGAGGTTGGCGGTTTGAATCCCCGCAACGGGGTGAGCTCCTGTTGCTCGGTCCCTGCTCCTGCCAGCCTAGCAGTTCGAAAGCACGTCAAAAGTGCAAGTAGATAAATAGATAAACGCCATTTCCGTGCACTGCTCTGGTTCGCCAGAAGCGGCTTAGTCATGCTGGCCACATGACCCAGAAGCTGTACGTCGGCTCCCTCGGCCAATAAAGCGAGATGAGCGCCGCAACCCCAGAGTCGGCCACGACTGGACCTAACGGTCAGGGGTCCCTTTACCCTTTACCTTTAATGCTTCATGCCTGTTGTAATCAGAGAAAGGGGGTTGCTCTTTAAGAGATAAAGGAGTATTGGCTTTGCAAATTACACCTTAATGAACATTGACTTGTTGGCCTTTTCACTGCAGGATGAACTTGCAAACGACTTTTCACATCAACTGCGAAGAACTGGAGAAGACCCTAGCTGGTCTGATGCTGGGATACAGGAAATGCTTTTTAAATAAATTAAAGCTGGAAACACAGGTAAGAGGACTATTTGCAATTCAAGAAGACTGAGCTAAAACCCAGCTGCTGAGATTCCAAGCCGCAGCAGTTCTTGTTGATTTCCTCCATGAGATGCCATCACTGAGCCAGGGTGTGTGCATGGGCAGATTGACACACCATGCATTCAAAGCACACCCACCACACATTTAAAGCACATGGCTTCCCCCAGAGAACCCTGGAAACTGCGATTTGTTAAGGGTTCTTTGAATCATGGCTCTGTAGCGAGGAGACCGCTGCTCCCAGGATTCTGAAATGAGAAAAGGGACTTAGCGCAATTGAATTGCCGTTATGAACTGATGAAATTTTATTTTATTATGAATCAGGCCTCTTTGAATGAGGTCAGGCCTCTTCGAAAAGTGGATGGGGGAGTATATCTTCCGAGCAGTTTAACTGACAGCCTTGCACATGTCCTTGGAACAACCCAAACCACATCTTCTTTCATGTGGTAGGAATAGGAGCAATTCTAAGAAGTCGGATAACTTAATTTCTCACCATCGCTGCTTTCACTTTCGAGCAAAGCCAAGGTTGCAAACAACAGCGATGTTTTTTGCAACTGTAAAGCCCCTTGCAAGGCAGAATTATTGTAAAAGGCAGACATCATCCTCACTTACAAGCTGCTCTTGCCATCTGCACAGGGGCTGGTGTGCCAGCATAGCTAACAGTCAGTGGCAGTGGCAGACAATAAGTACCACTGGTCAGTGGCCGATCACCTGCTTTCATAGAATCACAGAACTGTGGAGTTGGAAGGGAGCCCAGGGGTCATCTGAGTCCAACCCCCTGCAATGCAGGAATCTCAGCTATAGCATCCACGACAGATGGCCATCCAACCTCTGCTTAAAAACCTCCAAGGAAGGAGAGTCCAGCACCTTCCGAGGGAGACTGTTCCACTGTTGAACATCACTTACTGTCAGAAAGTTCTTCCTGATGTTTAGTTGGAATCTCCTTTCTTGTAACTTGAAGCCATTGGTTCGAGTCCTACCCTCCAGAACAGGAGAAAACAAGCTCTCTCCATCTTCCTTGTGACAGCCCTTCGGATATTTGAAGATGGCCATCCTATCTTCTCTCAGTCTCCTCCTTCCATTCAAAACGTCCAAAATTGAATCCCCGTTATCTCCAGGCAAGGATGAGAATGTTGCCTGTTTGCAACAGTGGAGTGAGTTAGTGTAGACAATATTTAGTCTGGCTTGCTGTAAGGCAGCTCCCTATGTCCTATGGACATTCCCCCAGTCCCTCAGCCACCTCAGGCAAGGTGGGGAATGTGCATGAGTTCTAAATGTAGCTCTGGCAGGGTGGAGGGTTCTCTTAACAACTCCCAGCACCCTTAAGAAACTCCATTTCCCAGGATTCTTTGGGTGAAGCCCTGACTGTTGAGATTTGTGGATGTAAACAGAGCCCTACTGCTGCAGGGATTTTTCACATTTCCAGGACAGAGGCTTTAAACATACAGTGGTACCTCAGGTTAAGTACTTAATTCGTTCCAGAGGTCTGTATTTAACCTGAAACTGTTCTTAAGCTGAAGCACCACTTTAGCTAATGGAGCCTCCTGCTGCTGCCGCGCCGCCGGAGCACAATTTCTGTTCTTATCCTGAAGCAAAGTTCTTAACCTGAAGCACTATTTCTGCATTAGCGGAGTGTGTAACCTGAAGTGTATGTAACCTGAAGCGTATGTAACCTGAGGTACCACTGTATACTGCGGACGTTACCATAGCATCAGAGACCGACAACAGTGCAGGAGGATTTTGCCCTGAGATGTTGTGATTACTTTCCTGGCGAATGTGGATCCAAAAAAATACAATAATTCAAGGCATGCTTTTTCTACCCCAGAGCATCTCTAAAACATGGACCAGATGATGCTCAGTCATTCCGTATGCATCAGCACCTCCTTGTCTTCGCAACAGAAATAGACTTGTGCTACTTTTTTTAAAAGCAGAGGCTCCTGGGCAGAGCACCAAGAAAAGCTGCTCAAAGTGATTTAGCACAGCTCGTTGACCCGCTCCTCTATCCCACTTTACTTTCCCTCTGATTTACATTTTAATTGGTTCCTGCCTCTTTAATACAGTTGCCAGCTGGTGGAAAAGGCTTATATTTATCTAGGGGAATACAGTTTAGGGATCTGAAGAAGCCCAGAACTCATGGAGGCATTCCAACTGCCCATAATCCCTTAATTAGGTGGAGCATCTACGGTAAATGCACACAGGCCACCCTTGACAATTACCAAAGCGATCTGCAGTGCTTCCTGTTTTCCTCCTCCCACACGCCTGAACTGGCTCTAAGATCTTGCATCACACCCTAGATTTGAAGCACTGCATTGACACACAGCCAAGGCACAGGGAGGGACCAGACCCTAACTACATATGGCACACACAGGGGTTTATTGGAAACACCTTTGGGGGATAACCAGGCAGAGGAGAAAGGGAGCAAGGAGGAAAGTGCTTAACCCTTCCCCCACCGCATCTCCACTTGAAACTGTCCTCCCCGCTGCACAGTTTCAAACAAGAGAATTCTGAGGGCAAAGATGGGAAAGGGTGAAGCACCCCTCGCCGTCAGCTCCAAATACAGTGGACACTCAGGTTGCGAACGTGATCCTTTTAGGATGCACATTTGCAACCCACAGCGGCGCGTCTGCGCACTCGCAGGTTGCAATTCGGCGCTTCTGTGCATGCACAAAGCGTGATTTAGCACTTCTGCGCATGCGCGACTCCCAAAACCCAGAAGTAACCCGTTCCGGTATTTCTGGGTTTCGGCGGTCTGTAACCCGAAAAAAACGCAACCTGAAGCATCTGTAACCTGGGGTGTGACTGTAATTCCTACCCAAATGTGCTTTTCCTTAAAATTGTTGTGCTTCTGTTACATGTGTTCATGCACTGCGTTCAAGGGATTCATAAATCCTAGTTCTTCAGCTCCACCACTGAGCTGAAGCCCTTCCCCTGGATATCGACTCATGTTTTTTCCTGGAAGCTGATTATAACATATGCATCGTTTTGCATCTAAGAGTAACGTGGTCCTGCACTTTGAATCTAGGGTGGGGGAAAGTTCCAGGTATCAAAAACCTGGGAAACTGTTTACCTGGCTGTCAACAATCTCTTTTTAAAGTAGGAATGATAATTAGATTTTTACACTGACATAGAAAATAAACTATTCTCCTACCGTGAAACTTAATAGCCAATACATACTGCCTTATCTTTGGGTTTAGTTCTATTCCAGTAGGGCAGGGATGGGGCTGTTGTGGTCCTCCAGAGGATGCTATGCTCCAGCTCCCATCAGCACCAGCCAGCATGACCAATGGTCAGAGTATGGGATGATGGGAATTGAACAGCTTGTGGAAGGTCACTGGTTCCCCACCCCTGCAATAGACAGTTGCAAGAACATGTCCCCCAAATGATCTTCCCACATTTCTTGGGCATCCTGAGCTTTTATAGTGTGTGAACATGGTCCTCAGTACCGTATGTTAAAGTCTCCATGCCCAGACGTCCATTGTGAGGGGCTGTATTTATTTCCCAAACTTTGCATGCATAGTTCCTGGCAAAGTTTAAAATGTTTCCCAGTAGATTCCAGTAGTTTTGTTTTCATGCCCACCTAGGAAAGAAGTGTTAGCAGATAGATCAATGGTGTTTTAACCAGGTTATTCTTAAATGCACTTGCATATCAGCAAAACATCGACACAGAAACAGGAGGGCTTGTCTGAAATATTCGTGGAATCATGTGCCAAGTACTTAAAGCTGGTTTAAAAGCTATGGGCAAAGACCAAAGGACCATGATCAAGATTTTGAAGAATGAGAACCCAAGGAGCCACAGAACAACCTTAGGCTCCAATCCTTTAAGGCCAGCTGTAAGGAACCAGAGGTGCTTTTAGGGTGGCATGATCGGTGTGGCCATCTTAGGCACCATGCTGCAGGGGGCACCAGAGAAATGAAGTAGAACAGAGCCCGAGAGGCAGGGGCACTGCATTTTAGCATTGCGCAGGGCACCACTGAAATTTGAGAGCCTGGTGTCTGCCACTGGAGGAATTTGGCCATACCAAATGGCGCTGATGGAAGTTGATGTCCAACGACATCTGGAGGGCTGTAGATACCCCACCTATGCAAGAGTTTCTTCTGGGTTAGGCAGGCCAAGGATTGCCATATTCGTTTCACGTTTCTCAAACTGCACTCCCCTCGTGGCAAATGGCAAAATGCTTTTGAAATGAAGGAGGCTTTCCCGTGCAGTTTGTGAGGGGACCTGAGATGAGAGGCATATGCGCCACTCAAAGGGGTGGGGGATGTCCCAAAACTCTTCTGAGTACCCTCCAAACCCCTGGGTAGGCTCTGGGCCATAAGGACTTGAGTAGGCCACACCTTAGAATCAAAAGAGATGCTTTAGTAATACCCATGACTGACGTGTGTGTGTGTGTTTTACCAGCCAATGTTCAAGAAAATTCTAAGCCAGGCCTGGGTCGTAAGTGGCGGCACTTTCGATTCGTTCATCATAAAAATATTGTCCATCATTGAGGAGTCTTCGGAACATCTAAAGCATCTAAAGGAACCCATCTGCAAGGTAATAGTAAGAGTAATAGTAATAATTAATAATTCAGTAATGATTTTTTAAAAAAAGTTTATTTGTTTATTAAATTTATATTCATCACAGTTAACAGAATAAAATACAAGATAAAAACACAAGTAAGTAATTAAAACAAAAACATTCCTAACCTGTCTTTCACACAATGTACACATGGCATAGCGTATATAGAGATGTTTTGAACTATTGTCAGCCCTCATAGTGGCTGGGCCTCGTGGATGTTGTAGTCCCAGGGTGAACATCCTGCGCCCGGTGGTCAGGGATGATGGGAGTTGTAGTCCAATGCATTTGGAGGGGCATCCAGTTAGATTTCATTTATAGAGACCTTGAGGACTGGGCTGAAGCCTGACAAAATCTATTTCTTACGTCCATAGGATAACAACAGATTTCAAAAACGTAATAAGCAACAAATATATATACCCATATATATAACGACCCAACTTATTTTAGTGACAGTAAGTTGTTTTTAACTGTTTTTAACATTAGGTTTAATTGTTGCAAACCTAGGACCTGAGGGTGGAGAGAGAGTAGATGATGATGATGATGTTTCTCTTTTTCTTTTTCTCTCTCTTATTTACCTCTCACCATGTTTAGTGCACATCTAATTATGTACTTTTTGACCTTTCAATAAAGATGTTAAGGAAAATTATTATTATTATTATTATTATTATTTTGCAATTTTAGTATTGTAGTTTTGCTTTGTATTGTTGTGTATTATTTTTGTTTTGCTTTGGTTGTAAATTGATTAGGGACATTATTAGTGGGATGCAACAGACAGAATTAATAAGCCTAAAGGTAACCATTGCAATACTTTGCAGTGACACGAATAAAACTTGATCTTCCAGGTGGCTGTGCACTGAAAAACTCATCCAACGGGTTTCTTTTGGGTTCTCTGAATCTTTCCCAGTCCTTGTGGATTGGCATGGCAATAAGCCCCTGGCTGTGCTCTTGTGCTTTGGCCAACCCACTATTGGGTTGTTATTTTTATCGTTCTTGTTGTACGCAGGATTTTCTCAACGAGGTTCACAAGGATGTGGTCAAAGAGTACATCACGCAAACTCTCAAGCCAAGAGGCAGAATGAGGAAAACGAAACGAGACGAGGTCAGCAAAATAATGTCTCAGGATGCCACAGCTATTAACAACACAATGCAGCATCTGGTAAGGAATTTCTGCCATTTGTATCTACCGTATTTTTTGCTCTATAAGACTCACTTTTTCCCTCCTAAAAAGTAAGGGGAAATGTGTGTGCATCTTATGGAGCAAATGCGGGCTGCACAGCTATCCCAGAAGCCAGAACAGCAGGAGGGATTGCTGCTTTCACTGCGCAGCAATCCCTCTTGCTGTTCTGGCTTCTGAGATTCAGAATATTTTTTTTCTTGTTTTCCTCCTCCAAAAACTAGATGTGTCTTGTGGTCTGGTGCGTCTTATAGAGTGAAAAATACAGTACATCGTAGCAGTGGATTGATGTGAAAGTACCTGAGGTTATTTAAATGCAAGTGAGCCAACAAAACCTCAAGATCTGTAACCTTTAAAGTTGTTTCTTTCCTAAAATGTGTTAACAAGATTCATTTTAAGAGTAGTAGGGTTAAAGGTAGAACATTAGAAGCTGTCTTAAGTGGAGTTCCATCAGCACTGACTACATCAGCCTTTTCCAACCAGGTGTTTAGGAATACAGGACTGTTGGGATTTACAGCCCAAAACATCTGGACTTGTTCAGAACCACAATATTAGAAGCTCTTGCAGATCAAGAAAAGTACCATCAAGACCAGGCATAGGCAAACTCTGGCCCTCCAGATGTTTCAGACTACAATCCCCATCATCCATAGCTAACAGGACCAGTGGTCGGGGGTGATGGAAATTGTAGTCCCAAACATCTGGAGGGCCAGAGTTTGCCTATGCCTGATCAAGGCCAAGAGGATGTCCATGTGGTAAGAGTCAAAAAACTGGTCCTGCTAGCTAGGGATGATGGGAGTTGTAGTCCGAAAACAGGTGGAGACCAAAGTTTGGGAAACCCTCCTTTAGAAAATGTAAGTCTTGTTGAAATGTGGAGAACAAAAAGGGACACAAACTTTGGCAAAATAAATACAAGCAGACTATAAAAGATGATGGGAAAAAACCAAATTGAGGAGTACACCGCTAAAAAGATAAAGACCAACAACAACAAAAAGTATTTAAATACATGAGTAGTAGGAGACCAGCTAGGAGTGTGATCGAACCTTTGGGTGCCAAAATGTTATCAGAGATACATTGCTTTTTCGAAACCTGAATGCTTCCATCTTAACTGCAGGTCATTTGGTGGTGGGGGAATAACCAGGTATTCTAACATATTTCCAGGGTTCAACTTCCGACTGGCTCGCTCCTGCCATAGAATACATTGCTAGAATAATTGGCGAGGAAGAAAAACCCAGAATCAAGGACCACGTTAACTGTTTATACCAGGATTATCCAGACATCAGGTATGCCAACCCATTCCGAATAGCTGTAACTCGCAGGTTTGATTATTACGATCTCTCTCGTTCTCTAGGTGGAGGTTTTCTGTGCTGCTTGTGGGTGCAAAGTAGAGTGCAAAGTGACTCCTAGGGAGCGATCATATGTATGTTACATCCCCCCACCCCACTGCCGTATTAGTAGCTGAATCGAGGGGGGGGCACTCCCGCTTTTTCAGTTTTATTGCAATTAGGGATGGGCGAACCTGCCAGTTTTGGGTTCTCTCAAATTGGGACAATGAGAAACTGAGAGAGACCTAAACTGGCAGACTCGCCCATCCTTGGGCCTTATAGATGCTCCCCCGTTTCCTTCTTTGTGGGGGCACATTGCTGCTTTGATTCATCGGTTTGTTTTCAGATATATTTTACTCAGAGTAAAGGTAAAGGGACCCCTGACCATTAGGTCCAGTTGCAGACGACTCTGGGGTTGCGCGCTTATCTCGCTCTATAGGCCGAGGGAGCCAGCGTTTGTCTGCAGACAGCTTCTGGGTCATGTGGCCAGCATGACTAAGCAGCTTCTGGCGAACCAGAGCAATGCACAGAAACGCCGTTTACCTTCCCGCCGGAGCGGTCCCTATTTATCTACTTGCACTTTGATGTGCTTTCGAACTGCTAGGTTGACAGGAGCAGGGACCGAGCAACGGGAGCTTACCCCGTCGTGGGGATTCGAACTGCTGACCTTCTGATCGGCAAGTCCTAGGCTCTGTGATTTAACCCACAGCGCCACCTGCGACCCTTCCTTTACTCAGAGTAGACCCTCTGAAATTAAAGACCATCGCCAACTTAGGTCCTTCAATTTCAGCAGGCTTGTGCTAAGTGTAAATAAATAAATTTTTGTTTATACCCCGCCCGCCCCAGCCAGGGCCGGGCTCAGGGCAGCTAAAACCAAATATTAATTACAATAAAACATAATAGAGAAAAGAAACAACAACAACAACAACAACAAACAGTTAATTAAAATACGGCTTAAAATACAGCTTAAAATGCAGCCTCATTTTAGTAGTAGCCCATAAATCAAGACCATAAAGGGAGGAAACACCAGATATTCACCCAAGCCAGCTATCCATGCTGGTCCTACATGGGCCAGCAAAAAAGCCAAGGGAAAATTTATATACTAAATCCCATATAAGAGGTCAGAGTGAGTCTAAGCCGAAGGCTAGGAGGAACAGCTCCGTCTTGCAGGCCCGGCGGAAAGATGTCAAATCCCATAGGGCCCTAGTCTCTTGTGACAGAGCATTCCACCACGTCGGGGCCAATGCTGAAAAGGCCCTGGCCCTAGTTGAAACCAATCTAACCTCCTTGAGGCTTGGGACCTCCAAAGTGTTGTTATTTATGGACCTTAAGGTCCTCTGTTGGGCATACCAGGAGAGGCAGTCCCGTAGGTACGAGAGTCCTAGGCCGCATAGGGTTTTAAAGATCAAAACCAGTAACCCATTCTATTCTGCTGCTTTCTTTCATTTCCCCCTGAATTTTGCTTTAAATTTATCAGGTGCAGTTGGGGGCCCCTTCAGTGCATTCTTTACAGGGTGAGCCCATCTTATCCCTTCTATAACACCATGTGGGCATTTTTGGGGAGAGGAGGCAGAGCAAGATGATCAGAGTTGGCCAAACATCTTGGTGCCTGAGACAATTAAATGGCTGGCCCCACCCCCAAAAAAACCCACACTTAAAGTCATATTGTACCCACAACTGGTCAAGTTGTGTTTGCGCTTAAGGCAAAAACTCCCCCAACTACCTGTCCACCTCCCTGGCAGCAAAACAATAAGAAATTAAAATTACTAACCATTTGCTGCCCTTTCATGACAGCTATCATCATCTTCCCCTAGGCAGCCACCTCACTTTGCCTAATGATAGGGCCGGCCCCGGAGAAGATGGAAGGGCGGAGAAGAGGCAGAACCAAGTCATTTCCATCCAGCTTTGCTTGTTTACAGGGAGGGATAAAGAGAATTGGCTAGGATTCAACTAATGAATCCCATCACTGGAAGCACTGTGTAAGGACTTCTGCTTGCGCAAGAGGGTTGCCTGCATCTCCTCCCCACAAAACAAACAATCAGAAGTGTGTGACATTGAATTCTTCCCATGTTCTCTTATTCCATGCTCCTCTTTCCTCAATCTACAGCAGGAGACACTAATTTTACTTTTTTTAAAAAAAAGATGTTTAAATAAACATTCCTAACCAGCTTTTTTTTTTAACAGAAACTTAGCACAGCTGCCAGCCCTAACTGTCATAATTCTTGACACACTGGCTATTATTGCAACAACAATGAAATAACCATTGCCATAAAAAAGCACAAACAACTATTTGCCAGAGAAGACATGCCTCCTTTGTGTATGCCCTGGGAAGTTCCAGGGCTGTTCCTCTTTATAGGGTCTGCTTCCTCATGATAAGAAAGAATTCTGCAGAGGATGGGGTAGGGGGAAAACTCAGTTAAGTTTGAAGCAGAACACATATGAGAACCAAATACGATAATCGAACCAAAGCACAGACATCCTTCAAAAATCAGCATTTCTCTTAAATATGCAGTGCTGTTCTCCAGCCAAGTAACACATTGCAATAATATGTAAACGAGTGTAAAGTATGCATAAAAATGCATAATATACAAAAATGAGTTACCGTATTTTTCCATGTATAAGACTAGGTTTTTCCCCTAAAAATAATGTCAAAAATACACGGGGCCATCTCCCCCCATTTTCTTAAATCCGAGTCCCCCAAAACAGGGGGCGTCTTATACATGAGGGCGTCCTATAGACGGAAAAATATGGTAATATTGGTGGGAAATTCGCACGAAAATGCTGGTGGATTTTCACAAGGTTCTTTTTTAAAAGACACACAAAACAATCACTAATTGTTGTGGAAAGGTAAATTTGAGACTGGAAAAATGAGAAACTTCAAGCACTGAAAGGAATAGAGAGGCCCATCCCTACGGTAGATTTAGTTCCGTCTCCGCCAACCTGCCACCCTCCTAATGCCGGGAGCTAAAACTAACTTCAGCCCCAGTCAGCACAGCTGGTGGTTCTTGTAATCCAAAATGGCCATGTTGGCTGGGAGTGGTGGGAGTTGCTATCCAAAACATTTGGAGAGCACCTGGTTGGTGAAGACTGGCATATGGTGTCTTTATAATATCTGTTTCTTTGCAAATATACAAGCCGAACATAATGGAAGCAACTGAATTCCTAGAACAGGCAGCACAACCACTAACTGATAATATAACATCACACAGATTTAGGTGCTTTCTAAGGTATGGCAATCCTAGGTAGGTTAGGACATTCAGAGTCATTCTCCACCTTGGCTAAATGCCCCCCCCCCAGACCCTCCTATGTCAGTGGGCCAGGTGGCAAAAACAGGCTATAGCACTCTGAATCAGCACTGGGCAGCTAGAAGCTGCCATTTTAATTTCCCACAATGCCTCCCTCCATGTAACATTTCTCCAGGTGCATTGTGGGGGTGTTAAAGTGGAAACTCCCCAACTTAGCCACTTTCTACAAGAAAGGACTTTGCAGAATTCTCTCCCCTCCCACCCCACCACCCCAGACATGGGGAAATGACTTTGTAATTTAAGACCTTATGGTCTTTTACCTACAATTGACCAGATTACAGCTTATTGGATGACAACAGCATTTTAGAAACTCCAGGCCTCTATGATCATTTGGGTGTCAATGTTTGCCAATGAATGATGGGAGCTGATCTTTTTATTGCCTCGTTTTGCTTTTGTTTTACATGTATATTTCCCCCATTTGTTTCTTGGAGAATTCACCTTCATTGCATTTTGCAGAAAGGAGCACATTGTCGCTGTTCTTGCTCTTCGAGGATTGAGTCGAAATAAGAGGCGAGCGATAGCTGACCACATGAAGCAGCCGTCAGAAGAGTTGGGATGCAGGACGCTCTTTGCTGAAATAGAAGTCCCAAGAACCACCCAGTGCTTTTTTTAAAATCTGCAGAAATGAAATGTTGAGCTATGCTTGTTTCCATGTATTTATGAACATACAAGCACTTGAACAGAGTCAGGCCATTTGTCAATCTCTCTGCGGCTCTCCACATCTTGCTCCTTAATGATCCTTTTAGCAGAAGATGCCTAGGATGAGTCTCAGAAGATTATATACTTGCTAAAAATGGACACTACTTAAAAATGGAAAGCGTAATGCTAGTGGTCAACAAAAGAGGTCTAAAGAAAGGCAAATCTAAAAAAAATGCAGTAGAAACACTGACAACTGGGAAACACTGGCCTGTGAGCTCTCCAATTGGAGAACAGCCGTTACCAAAGGTGTCATGGACTTTGAAGATGCTCAAACTAAGGATGAAAGGGTGAAACGTGCTAAGAGGAAAGCACGTTTGGCAAACCCTCACCATGATCAATTCCTGCCCGGAAACCAATGTCCTCACTGCGGAAGGACATATGGATCTAGAATTGGCCTCCACAGTCACAGACTCACTGTTAAGACTGTGTTTGTGGAAGACAATCTTACTCAGATACGAGTGATCTCCAAAGAAGAAGAAGAAGAAGAAGAAGAAGACTACTTCTGAGCTATAGTCTCTCTCCAATTTAATAATGAGAAGGTCTTCTCTCCTTACTGTATTTATAGAGGTGTTTGCCTGTCCTCTCTCAGGTGTGGGAAACCTCCAGCCCACAAGTCAACTTCTTCCCCGCAGGGGTCCCAGCTTAGCACACCAGATCATTCCCTGCAAACCACAGCTGCCTACCCTACACCTGATGCCCTGTTTGGGGCAGGTGGGTGTGGTTTCAAAGGCACAACTGGGAGGTTAAACTGAGCTTCCTATTACTCCTTTGCTAGAGAAAAGCACATTCCCAGCGCCCAACCGATAATTCTTAATTTTAGAAGGGTTTTTAGAAAAATGGGAGTGCCTTCAAATATGCCCATCAATCATGTCAGGTGACTGAAAGATGGGTGACCTTACCCATCTCTCAGATTTGATCCATGGAATACTCTCCCCAGGGAAGTTTACCTGGCACCTTCATTATGCACCTTTCGGAGTCTGGTGAAAACTAACTTCCTGTATCTATTTAAATGTGTTTGAGGGAGGCGGGGGGGGTTATTGGTTTGTTTTGGTCTTGTTCATGTTTTTATTCTGTAGTTTGTGCTTTTATTGTGTGGTTTGTGCTTTTATCTTGTATTTTTTTATGCTGTGAACTGCCCTGAGATATATGGGTGAAGGGAGTACAAATTTAATTAATTAATTAAAGGAGGAGACACGATATGGGGAACTCGACTAAAAGCATAGCCAAGAAACCATGGCCGCACCCGACACGTGAATAGAATTAATATGACCCTGACATTCCTCAAAAGAAAACAAAGAAGATCTGTTGGCGACCAGCTGTCACATGTCAAACACCACAACAGACCTTCCCATCACTTGATTTTCCTCCCGATACCATACTTTTCAGAAGAGGAAGTTTCAGCCAGTTTTTCTGAATAGTCCAGTCAAGTGATACAAATCTTACCTCTCACCTCAGAGCGAATGTAAAGCAGGCCTAATAACATCAGCATTCAAATGTATTTGTTTTGTTTTGTTTTTGTTTCCCCCCTCCTTTCTTTTTTCCTCCCCCCCTTCCCCTTCCCTTTTTCTTCTTCTTTTTCTCTTTTCTTTTTTTGTGCCTCCTTTCTTGGTCTTTCTCTTTTTGATGCGTTAAGAAGGAGATAAAGAGATAAAAGTGTAACATGAAAACTTCAGTAAGTCAAAAGTGATGTTGTGTAATTTTTCTATTACTATTTACATATTGTTAAAATTGGTGAATTGTAATGAATTGATGTAACAATTACTGTGGTTTTTTCCTTTGTTATTGTTGAATTCTAAATAAAGTATTATTCTTCTCTTTAAATAATAATAATAACAACAACTACAACATCAGCATTCACATCTTTTGCCCTAGCCCAGCCCCACTGCTGAGCCTTCACCTTAGAAAACATGTCTGCCTCAAGGAGCTTCCATTTTAATATCCCACAATGCCTTGGAGGCTGGTTTCTGTTTAAAATGGAAACTGCTAGGGCTGCCACTAAGTAAGTCAGAAAGGGCAGAGGGGAATCACCAAACATCACTGGTTTGGCGAGTTAGTCCCTATTTAAATACCTCATTTGTGCTTTCTGAAACAATACAAAAAATGAAATATAGCCATGCTTCAAAATTCGCACTTCTACAAATTGTGCAATGCAGTTCTCCAGTAGATTTCAGATCAGCTTTCCACAGCTTTTCCCAAGAGTTCATTTCTATATTATGTCCAAGAACTTTTAGCCCATTGTATCATCACTGATTTAACCATTTCATCTTTCATCTCCCATTCTAATAACAATTTATACATTTCTGAAACCGGTTTTTCTGTTCCTTAGAGCAGAATCTTTTCAAAGTCAGAACTTCAATCTATAAAACCTTTTAATAGATCCTTTAAAAAAAATACTCATTAATTTGATAATATTGAAACCAGTCCAATACGAATTCTGCTTTTCAAGCCACGGGACCACAGACATAAAAAAAACCAACCAGCAGTGGTGTAGCGTGGGGGGTGCAGGGGGGGCCGGCCGCACCGGGTGCAACATCTGGGGGTTAGGGTTAGGGGGCGCAAATCCACGGGTTAGGGGGCGCAAATTACTTGTCTTGCCCCGGGTGCTGACAACCCACGCTACGCCACTGCCAACCAGAATAACACATCTCAGCAGAGTGAGAAAAACAAGTTAAGGGAGTTCCTTTGGTCTTTCATAATAAATACAAAAATTCATGCAATGCTGGAAATATATATTTATAGGGAAGTAGCAAGGCTTTCCTCACCCCCACATGGGAAAGCGAAACTAGCCAAATTATTCCCCAGCACAGTTATTCAAGATAACAGGAGCCCTGTCATCTGTTATAACTGATTAACCTATGAAGAGTGAATCAAGCCACGCAAGCAATTCGGGGTGGGCTGTGATGCTCTGATAGTTGCTGGAATTCAATTCCCATCATCCCTGGTCATGCTGGCTGGGGCTGATAGGAGTTCAACAATGTTTGGCAGGAACCAGGTTGAGAAAGGCTGCTCAATGAAATAGCCCATTTGGTTTGAAGAGCTCCCGGTTTGACTAATCCAGGCATGACCAAACTTGGCCCTCCAGCTGTTTTAGGACTACAGTTCCCATCATCCCTGACCACTGGTCCTGTTAGCTAGGGATGATGGGAGTTGTAGTCCCAAAACAGCTGAAGGGCCAAGTTTGGCCATGCCCGGACTAATCCCTGGGAAAGCTAAATTCATGGGTTTCCCCCCGTGATGATGTGAAGCAGGGACAGGCCAGGATTAAGCACTGCCACTTATTTCACAGCAGAGACAATGATGTCATCTCCAGGGAAGCTATGTGCCAATCTTCTGGGTGCTGAATAAATAAGCTTTCTTTTTTTCCTAAGAGAGAAACCCGTCAAATAAACAAATGAGAGGATGAAGGAGGTGACCTGAGCATGAATGGCTAAGGATTTCATTTTGGAAATATTGCCAACCAAAATGTGACAAAACAAGTGAGGAAGGAGATTTGTTTGCAGACTGGATGTTAAATAAAAGGGCTGGTGGTGAGAGAGAGAAAAGTTTGCTTGTTATTGATGTCTGCACTGGTCAACATTTTATGTGTGTTTTACAGTTTTAGAAGGGTTGCCATGAAAAGCACCTGCGTTTCATAATTTCCCACCACACCACTGAGCTTTTTCAGTAATCCCATACTCTTAGACCAGCAAACCGTAACGGATTGTAGCTATCCGACAAAGCCATGCACAAGAGTAGACCTACTGAAACCAATGGACTTAACAAAATAAAAAAATTCCTTCCAGTCGGACCTTCGAGACCAGCTAAGTTTGTTATTGGTATGAGCTTTCGTGTGCATGCCCACTTCTTCAGATACCACACGAAAGCTCATACCAATAACAAACTTAGTTGGTCTCGAAGGTGCTACTGGAAGGATTTTTTTTATTTTGTTTCGACTACGGCAGACCGACACGGCTACCTACCTGTAACAATGGACTTAAGTTAGTAAGGGCCATTGATTAACTCTGAGTATGACTTAATTAAATTCATCGCAAGGCAAACAACAAACAAGCAATTGTCTTTTAGTGTTCTGGAGCTGTGCAAGAAAATGTTCAGATTTTTTAAACAATCTCCTTTAAAGGCCTTCTAATTTGCACTTGGGGGATAATTCTTTTGGAGCTTGATTGAGTGTACTAAGAACATAAATGCAAATGGTTACTAACGGACAGTGTGTTCTCAGAGGCAAGTGGCCTTGTCCTTCCGATGGACGTAATAAAATTAGCACAGTGATAAATGTACATTAGACTGCTAGAGCAAGGAGAACAGACCCCCATCCGTGCTCATGTTCTTGAGTAAGTCCAATTTCCCCTCCATTGTTGTTAATGTTTGTTTTGGCGGTGTTGATCACAATCTGATTAAAGAATGTCATCCTCTCCAATATTTCAAGTGTTATTTCGTAAGGAGGAATTGGGGTGGAAGAGAAATAAAGTACAGTGGTACCTCAGGTTACATATGCTTCAGGTTATATACACTTCAGGTTACAGACTCCGCTAACCCAGAAATAGGGCGTCAGGTTAAGAACTTTGCTTCAGGATGAGAACAGAAATCATGCTCTAGCGGCGTGGCGGCAGCAGGAAGCCCCATTAACTAAAGTGGTGCTTCAGGTTAAGAACAGTTTCAGGTTAAGAACGGACCTCCAGAACAAGTTAAGTACTTAACCCAAGGTACCACTGTACTTTTTATCTAATAACTAAATCTCCAAAATGGAGGAGGATATGCCTTTTTTCCCAACCATTGCTAACACTGCAAACTAACCATTGCAAAACAACAGCACTTGTGTGGTATTTTTTGCATTCAAGCCAGTTGCTAGAGAAGGAAGGAGCCAGGAAGAATTTTTCCTCCTTTTGGCTTAGGAACGTAGGAAGTTGCCTTATGCTGAGGTAGACCATTCGTCCATCTAGTTCAGCATTGTCTACATTGAGTGGAAGTGGCTCTCCAGCATTTCATAGGCACATGGTTGTTCATGTGAAATCACCATTGAACTCAGATCTTGTTTGTGGGGCTTCCTGGCGACCGGAGTGATATTGAACTAAACCAGACTAAATGGCCAAGTGCTAAGAAAATCCCGTGCGATCACATTTGATTTCAAAAAAGGGAACTTCCCCCAAATGAGGGAATTGGTAAAAAAGGAAGTTGAAAGGCAAGGTCAAAAACACAATAACTGGAAAGAAGGAAAGGTACCATGAGAGCCAAGAGGATGCCAATGAGATTAACAAGCAAAGACGCTATTGGAGGCAAGAAGGCTTCCTGCCAAATGAGGAGAACAAAAAGGCAAACCAACTTTGGCAATTACAAAAAGTGAAGGCAGCAAGGGTTGCTAAAAAGAATTTGAGGAGCACATTGCTGACACCTTAAGACCAATAACAAGAAACGAATTAAATACCTTCATAGCAGGAGACCATCTAGGCAGTTGGACTCTTGGATGACGAGGGAGTCAAAGGTGTGCTAAAGGAGGATAATGAGATTGCAGAGAAGCTGAATGAATGCTTTGCATGTGTCTTCACTTTGGAAGATATGGGGCAGATCCCAGTGCCTGAATTAATTTTTGCAAGGGGAATTGAGTCTGAGGAACCAAGGCAGATAGTGGTGAAAAGAAATGAAGTTCTAAGGCCTAATCGACAAAATGTTGTTGTTGTTTAGTTGTTTAGTCGTGTCCGACTCTTCGTGACCCCATGGACCAGAGCATGCCAGGCACTCCTGTCTTCCACTGCCTCCCGCAGTTTGGTCAAACTCATGCTGGTAGCTTCGAGAACACCATCCAACCATCTCATCCTCTGTCGTCCCCTTCTCCTTGTGCCCTCCATCTTTCCGAACATCAGGGTCTTTTCCAGGGAGTCTTCTCTTCTCATGAGGTGGCCAAAGTATTGGAGCCTCAGCTTCAGGATCTGTCCTTCCAGTGAGCACTCAGGGCCGATTTCCTTCAGAATGGAGAGGTTTGATCTTCTTGCAGTCCATGGGACTCTCAAGAGACTCCTCCAGCACCATAATTCAAAAGCATCAATTCTTCGGCGATCAGCCTTCTTTATGGTCCATATCCAGTTGTTCCATATCCAGTTCTAACTGTAGCTTCTTGTCCCACATAGAGATTTCTCAGGAGACAGATGAGGTGATCAGGCACTCTCATATCTAATCGACAAAATAGAAACCGGCCAATCCCCAGTTCTGATCACAGCCACCCAAAAGTTATCAAATAACTCAAATGTGAAATTGCTGATTCTCTAATAAAAATATGTATTTTGTCCCTCAGATCAGCCTCCACACCTGAGGACATGATATAGCCAATATAATACCATTTTTTAAAAGGGGGGGGATCCAGGGGAGATACTGAAAATTACAGGCCAGTTAGGTTAACATCTGCTCCAGGAAAACAGGTGGAAAGTATTGTTAAGGAGAAACTAACCAAGCATATAGAAGACATTTCTAATGGACCAGCTTCGAAAATTTGCACTTCTCTGAATTTTGCAAAGCAGTTCTCCAGCCAAGTAATATGTACAAAAAAATGCAAAATGCAATGTGAAATGTATGTTAATATGCATACATTAGAGAAAATAAATGTGTTGGGGAAAATGGCATTGCAAAGAGGTGTATATTAGTCAAATCTGTAAAAATATTAGTCAAATCTGTAAAAATATTAGTCAAATCTGTAAAAATATTAGTCAAATCTGTAAAATAATAAAAATATCACAAACTGATATGCCAAGTTGAAAAAACAGAACTATCCCTAACTGCAGTCCACAAAAGCTTACACTATGATAAATGTGTTACGTGCCACAAGACACTTCATTGTATTTGCAGCAGGAAGCTAACATGACTACTCTTCTCCAAATTCATTTACACAGGCATTCCAGCTTTTATATACAGTGGTACCTCGGGTTAAGTACTTAATTCGTTCTGGAGGTCCGTACTTAACCTGAAACTGTTCTTAACCTGAAGCACCACTTTAGCTAATGGGGCCTCCTGCTGCCGCTGTGCCGCCACCCGATTTCTGTCCTCATCCTGAAGCAAAGTTCTTAACCCGAGGTACTATTTCTGGGTTAGCGGAGTCTGTAACCTGAAGCATCTGTAACCTGAAGCGTCTGAAACCCGAGGTACCACTGTATTGTTAAACAATCATTATCCTTTGCAGCAACAAGCTTTATAAACAATAACCGCCAGGGCTTTTAATAGCTGTCCTTAACAAGTGATGAATTGCCTACGTGGCTCAGCAGAATGTGGGTTCAGGACTGAACATTACACGAGGGGTATTCCAGAGAGCCCTTAAGTGAGCAACTGCAAATGATGCAATCATTTCTAGGCCTCTGCTAAACTGACCACTCTGCATTGCTGTGTTGCTCTGTGAAGCAACCTTCAAAAATCCCCCACTGTGTTGCAATTTCCACTTTGGCATAAGCATGAGCTAATCTGCAAAGAATGGGAATCAATGGATATCCAAAGCTGCTTTGTTCCTAGAGAAGGGAGCAGAGCTGGCCAGGGAGAGTGAGTTGCTTGCTCTGAAAAGTCAAGAATTCGGAAATTCTTGATTTCCTCGCTCTGAAATTGTCAATATTTTAGTTACCTATGAGGCTCAGAGGTGCCTCACAATTAATTCTCATAATGTCAGGATCTCGACCTGGGCCAAACTGTGTTCTTAGGGCATGCCTCGTTTCCCATCAGTAGGAAATACTCACTTCTGCTTTAATTCGCAAGCATATTGCAGAAGTCACATGAGCACCTGTTTCCTGTCTTGCAAATGAAAAATGGAAAGTTATTATCATACAAAAAATGAACTGGGGGAGGGGGGATGAAGCAGTCCCTCTCATCACACATACTCTGTCACTCAAATTTGTAGTCTCCTCTGAGGCTCAATTTTTAAAAAAAATAAAACCAATAAACAATAATTAAATAACAGAACAGCAGCCCTACTAGAATGGTAAACCAATCTTTGCTATATTTGGTAAGCCAAGAATGACTATTGGTTTGACACCATGGTTTGTTTGGAGTTAAATAAGCCACAATCCACAAACTGGGATGACTGGATATTATACAATGTGTATTCAGGATAAGGAGGGAGGAGAAAATTCCATTTTATTTGCATTTTGATCCAATTTTATTTGCATTCTCACTTCTCAAACCAATATGTGAAATGAAACACAGCTGCCCTCCAAAATCCACTCTTCTCTGAATTTTAAAATGCAGTTCTTCAACCAGTGCACAGAAAAACACATATTGGGGTAAACATACATACAAAAATGCATTAGAGGAAATTGCTTACAAAAGTGGACATATGCATGCACAAATGTGAAAACTGCAATAAAATGCTGGTGAAATTTCATGTGGATTTTTTTTATTATTATTAAAAAGAATGCAAATTCTGCAGAAATATAAGATAATAAAAACACAAGATGTGACTATTGGATCAGGCCCATGGCTCACCTTAGCCCAGCATCCTGTTTTCACAGAGGCCAACCACATACCTATGGCTCCATAGTCACTGATATGTCCTTTTCTGTTGCTTTAATCATGCAATAAAGTTCACCGGACAGCAGTGATGTATCTAACTCAGCCATTTCATTAAAAGTCAGGCTAGTCAAGAAATTAAGAGACTACATATCTTGGCTGGCGGGCTTTCATGGAATAAGAAGAAATACAAGATAGATAGATGATAGATAGATAGATAGATAGATAGATAGATAATTTATTATGGTCAGAGACCAGCTTATAAAACACACTTGGGGGTACAATACCAGAAAGAAAACAGTTAAAATAATGTACAACAATAAATTTAAAATTTATAAATGTGATAAGCATATAGACACTTAAAACTTTGAGATAAGCTACCGCATAGATATGACCCAGAGTCACCCATGGAACCGAGTTTGGGGATTTTCTTCACGAACTAGTCTGAGTTGGGGGATGATCTGCACCTACAGATCTGTACACAGAATCTGGCAACCAACTGGGTCGTCTTATAATCTTTGCCTAACAGGAAAAGGTCGAATTTTTGCTTTTCCGGGAGGTCAGCGAGCCTCACCAGTAGGGAATCAATGGTCTTACTTCATGCCTCTTCATAAAAGGGACATCTAAAGAACAAGTGCTCTGGGCTTCCTATATCCCCCAGTGAACAGGCGCAAAGTCTCTGGGACTTTTTTGAAAGCTCCTTCCAGGACCGGTGAGGGCAGGGCCAAGCTTCTGGCGAGTGTAAAGGCCTTTCTAGCATTTTTTGGATATGAGAAAGAAGAGATATGCTGCCGGTGCGGCTATATCTCTCTCAATTTCTCCAATTTTATAGTCAGGGCACCTTGAGCAGTCCTGTTGTCTCTCGGTGTCTATGATTCTTTGCCTGACCGTAGCTTACATGCATGTATTCATACTCCTTGGTAGCTCAGTCGGTAGAGCATAAGACTCTTAATCTCAGAGTCATGCGTTCGAATCCTGAATTGAGCAGAAGAGTCTTGAATTGCAGGGGGTTGAACTAGATGACACTTTGCTCACTCCCAACTCTAAGTTTAAAAGCACGTGCCCCAATACTGATCCTTAGGGGACGCCACTTTCTACATCTCTCCATCCAGAGGACTGTCCAATTATTCCTTTACAGTGGTACATCGGGTTACATACGCTTCACGTTACATACGCTTCAGGTTACAGACTCTGCTAATCCAGAAATACTACCTCAGGTTAAGAACTTTGCTTCAGGATGAGAACAGAAATCGTGCTCCGGTGGCGTGGCAGCAGCAGGAGGCCCCATTAGCAAAAGTGGTGTTTCAGGTTAAGAACAGTTTCAGGTTAAGAATGGACCTCCGGAACAAATTAAGTACTTAACCCGAGGTACCACTGTATATGAGAACAGATGGATAAAAGAATTAAGTTAAGACAATTTGGAGTATGCAGGAAAGGATGGAAATAAATGTTAGGAACCTCGGAAAGAGGGGAAAGGGAGTCGAAATTGAACTCAAAGAAGCTTTTCCCTGAACAGACGTGTATAAAATGGTGCTCACTGTCCATTTCTCCCACTGAAAACAAATGAGACTCAGATCACTGGTTGAGTGTCCATGTGCCCTCATACTTCATTCAACACATTGGTGCTTAGTAATGCATACAAAAACCAGCAGAGTTTATGAGAAATGGCTTACATCATAAAGACCACAGAAGTTTTCCAGATCCGTGAACTAGCAGCTAAGTCTTTCTGCTTATTCTTATGCAAGAAACCAATAACAAGCCTCACCATTTGACTTTAGGAAATTTATCAGCTACAGAAAACCTGGTATTACAACATGCTTTTCTTTTTCTCTCTATAGCTCAGCCCAACCTCAGTTCATGTTCTTGATCGTTAAGCAGAAAGCAGTAATTGCTAAAGCAATTCTGTGGCCCATAAAGGCCCTATGGGGAGGTCAGGTGTCAGTAAAATGATCAACCGTTAAACCACTCTGGCAACCGTAGCTCTGAGGAGAATAGGAGTCTCCTTACAACTGTCTACACCAGGGGTGTCAAACTCAAATTCATCGGGGGCCGCATCAGCAGTTTGGTCACCCTCAAAGGGCCAGTTGTATCTGTAGGACTATGTGTCCACTCTTTATTATCATAAATTATTGTCACGGCATTCAATTATTACTGTTTTTTGTAATAATGTAAGTAATAACTAGCTCTGAAAGCAGAAACATAGTCAGAATAATAGCAAGTAGATATTCAAATGTACAATTATTGTACAATTTATTGAAAAATGATTTTTGGTAACAGACAGTAATTATTTTTTTTAAACATACAAATATTGCCAAACACTGTTTATTACACATATGGCAAACACAAGGCATTAACTTTTTTTAAACTTTTCTGAATAGATGGCTGACATCGTTTTCCTGAGGTCAGTCCATCGATGTCTGGCGTTAGGTCTTGTGCTGTAGCAATCCGCAAAACAGCATGGAGGTTATCATCAGTGATGCGTGATCTGAGCTTGGTCTTGTTCAGATTCATGACTGAAAACATCTGTTCACATAGATAGGTGCTCCCAAACATGGACAGAACACGTGCAGCTTGAAGTCGGAGCTGTGGCATCAAAGCAGGGGGGAGGAGACGGTAAAAGTCGTCGACTGTCGCATCCTGGAACTTCGCTTTCAGGCTGCTGTTGCACTGAAGTTCTATTAATTCCATTTGAAGGTGATGTGGTGCACTGTCAACATCGATGTTGAAGGGATTGGCAAAGCTGGTAAAGGTTAAGTTTTGTTCTTTAAAGTCAGAAAAGCGTCGATTGAATTCATCAATCAGCCGATTCACTTTGGTACCCAATCGAGCACATGAAAAAGTACCTGGGAATGAGGTTGAGATGCTCTGGCAGATAGGAAAGTGGGCAAGACTGTCTTTTTCAAGCTGTGACTTCCATAGGCGCAGTTTCTCCTGGAAAGCTGTTATTGCCTCATACATTGAGGTTATGACTTGTTTGCGGCCCTGCAGCCTCAGATTCAGTTGGGCGAGATGCTCTGTTATGTCACACAACATGGCAAAATCGCACAGCCAGTTTGGATCTGACAGTTCTGACAAGGGCTTCCCTTTACTTTGCATAAAAAGAGTAATTTCTTCCAAAAGCTCAAAAAAATCTCTTGAGAACGGTGCTCCGACTCAGCCACCTTACTTCTGTATGGTATGGCACATCTGTACGTTCCATGCCCACCTCCTTCAAAAATTGTCAGAACTGACAATGATTCAGACCCCGTGCACGCAGAAAATTCACTGTTTTCGTGACTGTGGACATTATGTTATCCAGTTGCAGAACCTTGCCACACAGAGCTTCTTGGTGGATAATGCAGTGATAAGTTATCAGCGGCGTGTGGCAATTACTTTTTTTCATTTTCTCTTTTAACAGTCCAACCAAGCCATTTCTCTCTCCACACATTGCTGGAGCGCCATCAGTAGTAAGTCCCACCAACTTTTCCGAAGGTAATTTCATTTTATGACTCTACACCCTTAACAAACTACAGTTCCCAGGATTCTTTGCAGGAAGGCATCATACTGCTTTAGGTGTATAACACAGATGGGGCCACTGTCCCAGCTACATGGAAACCCCCTGCATCCACCCCACCCAGTCAAAAATACAGGAACTTTGCAAGCGAACAATAAACGCTGAGCTGCATTGCTTGCCCTTACGCTTAATCCAAACCGCATGCGTTTCGCTCAATTAGGCACCTGCTTTCACACTAATCTGTAAACTAGCAGAGCAGCTGCCTGATGATTCAGAGCCAAAACTATGCAACATGTTGCCATTCTCCAGAATTACTCACACACAGTTTGAAAGGGCTGCAGATGTGTCTGGCCCTCAGCTAAGTCGGTTATCTTCACCTTGTGCGTGGGAATGTTCATCTCTCCACCAGACCCACACAACTAGAGAAGTCCTGGAAATGAGGGAAAATATTGCCAGCCTCCCATTTTGCTGTTCTTGCATTGGCAACACACAATTTTATCCATTTTTTTTGCCCCAAGGGTGGGTTTTTACATAAATAACCCCATCGTGTTTTCCTTTTGTATTGGTTCTAGAGGCAATTGCATCTCTTTCCCTCCATAGAGGTGGGGCAAAGCCGCCATCTGCCTGAATCCTAACCGTGTCTACTCAAAGGTGTCCCATTGAATTCAGTGGGGATTACTCCTAGGTAAGCCTTTGCAGATACAGTCCCACTGTTCGACACAGTGAATAGCTATTGCGTGGACAGGCGGAGTCCCCCAAACCCTGGGCAGCCCCGTGTGGAATAACGACTCAAGACAACGTGCTATGGGATTAAAATTGGCCACAACTTTATTATGTTTCAGATGTGGGTAGACCTTGGCTCGGTTGCTGCCGTTTATCCCTCCCAGTCCCCCGCCAGGGATCTGGGGAACATCAGGGTTATCCAGTGGGGGGGGCTGGCTCTGGAGAACATATGTTCAAGCAGAGAGAGCCCGCCCCCGTTACGCCGCCATCGCAGAGGAGAGCAATGACAACCTCTAGGCGTACGGCCAATGCCTCCCCTCAAACAACCCCTTTAATGGGGAACCCTGGTATCACCACCGCAAAGAGGAGGGGGTGTGGGTCACCGCTACACCCCACCCCCATTTAGGGAAGATAGACTAAAGGATTCCGCCCAAGGCCTGATACCGACAAAGTTGTGACATTCTGCTACGGGAAAGGCAAACCCGTCAAAGCAGGGGAATTCCTTTCCGGCCCTTCAACAACGACCCTGACGTAGCAGTGCCCGCGTACCTGTGGAGAAAGGGTTAACCTGTAAAAGAAGTCTTAACTGAGGGTGGGTAGGGTGGGAGAAGCTCTGGAGCCAACTGACGATTCCCAGGTAAGTTCCTCCCCCTGTTGTGTGGTCAGGATGGTCCCTCCCCCTACCTGGCCTGATCACCTTGGCAACGCCTCCCCAGGTAGGATTGGGCAACTGGCTGAGGTAGGCAGAGACCTCCAGGTATCCCACCTGGGGAAGGTGAAGCTAAGCCTGTGCTATCGGTGCCGCAGAGGGTCCCAGGGGCTGCGTACGACCCCGCAAAGGGCGCCCCCGTTTAATGGGGGTGCGGTCATTGTCCAATTATTGTTACAAGACCCCTAGTCACGTCCCAGAACTACAATTTCCAGAGTTCCTTGGGGATTGATTGTTAAACCACTCACGGGGGAAGGGACTAGAGGCCTTTTAAGAAATCTCACCATCCGTAACAAACTACAGCTTCCAGAATTCTTTGGGGAGGGAAGCCATGGCTGTTTGAAGCAGTATCACAATGTTTTAAATGTATGTTGTGAATATGGCCTAAGTGGGTTTAGGATTGCAGTCTTTGTTTATGTATGCTTATTCAAAAGTAAATCCCACCCCATCGTTCAGCCCGGACACTGAGGTCCAGCTCCTGGTGCTTCCCTCACTGCGAGAAGCCAAGTTACAGGGAACCAGGCAGAGGGCCTTCTCAGTAGTGGCACCCGCCCTGTGGAATGCCCTCCCATCAGATGTCAAGGAAATAAGCAACTATCTGACTTTTAGAAGACATCTGAAGGTAGCCCTGTTTAGGGAAGTTTTTAAATTTTGATGTTTTATCCCTTATTTATTATTATTATTAATATTCTGTTGGGAACCGCCCAGAGTGGCTGGGGAAACCCAGACAGATGGGCGGGGTATAAATGATAAAATTATTATTATTATTATTATTATTATTATTATTACTACTACTACTACTATTACTATTATTACTATTATTGGACAGCACAATGTCCCTGCAATGTAGCAAACACTGCAATCTTACCCAAAAGTAACTACTATTGAATTAATGGGGCCGGCACCCAGGTAAATGGGTTGAAGCTTGCAACCTCAGACTATGTAAGATTATTATTATTATTATTACTTCTACTATTATTAAAAAGTATGTCCTGCTGCATTTAGGGAGAACTTTCTCCCTTTAGAAAGCAGACCGCAACATCCCTATGGTTCTAGATTCAGATAGGTAGCCGTGTTGGTCTGATGCAGTTGAAATAAATTAAAAAATTGTCCAGTAGTACCTTAGAGACCAGCTAAGTTTGTTCTGGGTATAAGCTTTCGTATCTGAAGAAGTGTGCATGCACACGAAAGCTTATACCCAGAACAAACATAGTTGGTCTCTAAGGTGCTATTGGACAATTTATTTTTTATTTATCCCTATGATGTAAGTCAGGGGTCTGCAACCTTTAAGGCAAAAGGAGCCACTTGGACCCGTTTCCGAAGAAAAAAACAAACTGGGAGCCGCAAAACCATTGCGACATTTAAAGCGTGCGTGCCGCTGCCCTCCGATCTGACAGCGGGCGGGAAGGTGATGTTGGGACGGTGCGTGACTAACGCACGCACCACCCCCATGCGACGTCACAGCCAGTACAGCGCCCGCCACAGTGGGGAGTGTCAGGGCGCACAATGCGCCTCCTCTCCTCACTAGTATCCGCCCCGGAGCCGCGGCAAAGGTGTAAAAGAGCCACATGCGGCTCCAGAGCCGCGGGTTGCAGACCCCTGATGTAAGTGATCCCTTGATCACTGAGTAAATAAGGCACCTTTGTTGGGGGAGTGGGGCATATGCTCTGTTTCTGGAGTGAGCCCTTGTTTATTGCTCTGCAAGTTTGGTTGCTGTCAGATAAGCAAACAACCTCCCCTCTCTTTTCTTTTTTAGATTCCCCACCCACTATGTTTCTTTCTAGAGGGTATTATTACAGAGGTAATCCTATGCATGCTTCCCCAGAAGTAAGTTTCACTGGGTTCACTGGAGCTTGCATCCGGGAAACCTAACGTGGATGCAAGTTAATTAATGATAGATATTTGTAGCTGCGATAGTTGCCGTTGGCCTTTTTCTGAAGCTGATCCAGTGCTGACAATGAGCGAATATGCAAACAGAGGCAATATCCACACTTATTTCTGCCTCAACCAGAGTTCTCTGACATCCCAAAGCACCGGTAATCCAAACCATAATCAGCATGGGAGCAAGACCAGGAGTCAGGTACATTTACAGAATTTCCTGACTGGCTTTGGTAAAATTCCTGGAACTTTCATTAAGGAAACAGATTCCATTAAAAAAAAATGTGTAGACACTTCTGAGAAGTCAATGCTTTTGTTTACATACCCTGTCGTGAGCGGGGCTCCTTCATGATGAAAGTGTTTTCCTGCTTTTGAGATTACTTTAATTCATATCTCCGGTGATTAATCATTAGGAACCTGGCTCCAAACTCTACACAAGCAAGGGAGATCTTCTTGCCAACGTTTTAATTTTAATGTGTGTGTGTTTTTTTAAAAAAAATCACCCTGTGCATAGCATAATGTATATGTCCGAGGGCAATTTACAGTGGAAATTAAAAAGTGCAATGCAAATTAAAACAAAACAAAAAAGATACAATAAATCCTAAACATAAAGTGACCTGACTGTGAAAGAGCTCCTTTGGAAACAATGGGATATGCTTCAGTGTACACGTGGATAAAATTGGATTGTGAGCCAATTAAAAATCAATAAATACAGTTTAAAACAGTTTAAAAAGCTTGCAGTTAAAAAAATAGTCACCAAAAATAGAGTGGGTCTAATTTACACCTTCTAAAGCAATGAGAACCAATTCGTAAATGTCTTCCAAAATTTGCATTTCTCTGAATTTTTCAATAAGAGCTCTCCAGCCAGGTACAAAAATGCCTATTACTGAGGTAAAGTGTGCTTAAAAATACATATATTGGTGACAATAACCTACAAAAAATGCATATACAAGTGAAAGCAACATCCAACAATGCATTATATTAGGAAAAATTGCTTTGCAAAGGATATTTACATTAGGCAAAACTGCATACAGAATGTGTGTATTAGGAGAATGTTGATGAATCTTCATGAGGCCTTTAAAAATATTGCAAATTGAAGAACTAAATTAATGATTGGAAGAATGAGAAACGGAGAGAAGCCCAGACTGGTGGTATCACTCATCACTGCTTTACATAGAAATCATTAATCTGCTTGAGGGAATAAAGTATGTCTTAAAATGAAGGCCGAAA